CAGTAATTTTTCAAAATACTCTTTCCACCTTTTTTTCACATCATCATCACTCGAGAGTACCTTATTATCAACACTTTTTATACACCTTATATAATGATAATCTTTAGACCTTTTCTCTCTTATCTTTGCAAGTCAATAGATTTCTTTCCCGCCTTCCTTTGTTCCTAGCCTATCATACAACTAATCATACCTCTTAAACTTCGCCTTACTTACTGCACACTTGGTTTCTTTGCACAAGTGTTTATACTCCATCCAGTCTTCTCTCCTTTTGCTCTTATGCCATACTTTGAACTACTTTTTCTTACTTTCTATGATTTTTTGAACGTCCTCATCCAACCACCAGGTTTCCTTGTTTCCTAGCATTCTACTCCTACTCTCACCAACAATCTCCTTTGCAGTATTCTTTACACAACTAGCAAATCTATTCCACACATCATTTATGTCTCCCTCGAAATTCCACACCGTCCTCTCTTTTACCGTCTTTACAAACTCTTTTTCATTTTTCCCTTTCAATTTCCACCACCGGATTTTCGATTTTCCCTTGTGTTTCTTCTATTTTTATTTATTCTCTTTCCGGTATATCACAACTCCATTACCATCAGTCTATGTTGTGTAGTTACATTCTCGCCTGGTATAACTTTACAATCTTTTACTCGCTTTACGCTCTCTCTCTTCCACATAAAAAAATCGATCTGTAATCTATTCCTCCCACTCTTATATGTTATATAATGTTCTTCCCTTTTTCTAAAATAAGTATTAACCTCAACAAGATCATACGATACTGCGAAATCCAGTATTCTTTCTACAGCCTTATTCTTCCCACTAAAACCATATCCTCCATGTAGTCTGTCATATCCTCCCCTCTCATTATCTACATGTCCATTCATATCTTCACCTATCATCGCATCCTCATTGCCAGGTACCCCTTGTATCACCTCATCCATCTCTCTCCAAAACTCTTCCTTGTCTATTTCATCACATCCCACTTGTGGTGCATAGGCACTCATTACATTCTACACTTTTACTTCGAATATCAATTTACACCATAATTCTGTCACTTTTCCTAGCTACTTCTACTACTTTACTTTTCATCTCCTCATTCATTATTATCCCTACACCATTCTTTGCACTAGACTTACCAGAGTATATTATTTTATAACCCTCACCTATTTCTCTTGATTTCTATCCTTTCCCCTTAGTTTCCTGTACACAACAAATGTTAACTTTTCTCCTCTTCAATACTTCTACCAGTTAATGTTCCAACGCAACAAGTACCTATTCTTACTTTGTATCTATCTTTCTCTCTTACACGAGTCCAGCCTAGAGTTAAGTGGTGATGTCCCTACACCGTTGACACTACAAGCGTTGGGTTGACCTATACATATGACTTTCTGTTGTCCCCGCGTACATCCAAGATGGGGCAATTCGCCTAAGTTTTGTTTAGGATTCCTCGTACTTTTTTTGACAAAGATTTTTACGCCGACTGCCGACCTGACACAACCTCATTAGTCGCCTCTTACGACTGGCAGAAGATCGTAAGAGGCGACGTGTCGTAATTCTTTCCTAACTATATTATAATATATATTATACACAGTTTCCGTAATTATTAAAACCAAAATCTATTACTCATTTTGAAATCGAAATTTAAATTTGTAATTTAAATTAAAAATCGAAATTTTTTGTATTTTGAAATAATTTATTTGGATCACTCTGTATACACAATTTTTTTTAAATGCTTTGATTTGACTTATTTCTACATTAGTAACATGCTCTAACGATGTAGATTTTAAAAACATATAGATTGTAGCGATATTCAACATTTTTAACCCTTAATCACATGTGATTAAATACGTAACAACGTATTTAGCAAGCCCAGGTAAGGTGCGAAGTCCGCTATCCACGAATTTAAGCAACGGCATCATTGTTATTTACAACTTACTACAGCAACAACCGTCATAAATCAAAAGATATGAATGCTTTTTATTATAAATATTTGATATTTCTTATTTTTGAAGATTTTAATATATGAGTCACTAGCGGCTGAATAGGAGGGGATCAGAGGTATACATATTGACATACCTCTCTTTGACATTTTTGTACAATTCTCATTATACAGAGTGTTCAAAAAGTAAACAAATAGGTTAATCGTTATAAACAATGAGAGCAATAGAAATCCGTTTCTTTATTTACTGAACATTCTATATATTTTATATAGTGAATTTAATCATTTACGCATACACTTACTAGAGAGCCATTNAATAGATTTCTTTCCCGCCTTCCTTTGTTCCTAGCCTATCATACAACTAATCATACCTCTTAAACTTCGCCTTACTTACTGCACACTTGGTTTCTTTGCACAAGTGTTTATACTCCATCCAGTCTTCTCTCCTTTTGCTCTTATGCCATACTTTGAACTACTTTTTCTTACTTTCTATGATTTTTTGAACGTCCTCATCCAACCACCAGGTTTCCTTGTTTCCTAGCATTCTACTCCTACTCTCACCAACAATCTCCTTTGCAGTATTCTTTACACAACTAGCAAATCTATTCCACACATCATTTATGTCTCCCTCGAAATTCCACACCGTCCTCTCTTTTACCGTCTTTACAAACTCTTTTTCATTTTCCCCTTTCAATTTCCACCACCGGATTTTCGATTTTCCCTTGTGTTTCTTCTATTTTTATTTATTCTCTTTCCGGTATATCACAACTCCATTACCATCAGTCTATGTTGTGTAGTTACATTCTCGCCTGGTATAACTTTACAATCTTTTACTCGCTTTACGCTCTCTCTCTTCCACATAAAAAAATCGATCTGTAATCTATTCCTCCCACTCTTATATGTTATATAATGTTCTTCCCTTTTTCTAAAATAAGTATTAACCTCAACAAGATCATACGATACTGCGAAATCCAGTATTCTTTCTACAGCCTCATTCTTCCCACTAAAACCATATCCTCCATGTAGTCTGTCATATCCTCCCCTCTCATTATCTACATGTCCATTCATATCTTCACCTATCATCGCATCCTCATTGCCAGGTACCCCTTGTATCACCTCATCCATCTCTCTCCAAAACTCTTCCTTGTCTATTTCATCACATCCCACTTGTGGTGCATAGGCACTCATTACATTCTACACTTTTACTTCGAATATCAATTTACACCATAATTCTGTCACTTGTCCTAGCTACTTCTACTACTTTACTTTTCATCTCCTCATTCATTATTATCCCTACACCATTCTTTGCACTAGACTTACCAGAGTATATTATTTTATAACCCTCACCTATTTCTCTTGATTTCTATCCTTTCCCCTTAGTTTCCTGTACACAACAAATGTTAACTTTTCTCCTCTTCAATACTTCTACCAGTTAATGTTCCAACACAACAAGTACCTATTCTTACTTTGTATCTATCTTTCTCTCTTACACGAGTCCAGCCTAGAGTTAAGTGGTGATGTCCCTACACCGTTGACACTACAAGCGTTGGGTTGACCTATACATATGACTTTCTGTTGTCCCCGCGTACATCCAAGATGGGGCAATTCGCCTAAGTTTTGTTTAGGATTCCTCGTACTTTTTTTGACAAAGATTTTTACGCTGACTGCCGACCTGACACAACCTCATTAGTCGCCTCTTACGACTGGCAGAAGATCGTAAGAGGCGACGTGTCGTAATTCTTTCCTAACTATATTATAATATATATTATACACAGTTTCCGTAATTATTAAAACCAAAATCTATTACTCATTTTGAAATCGAAATTTAAATTTGTAATTTAAATTAAAAATCGAAATTTTTTGTATTTTGAAATAATTTATTTGGATCACTCTGTATACACAATTTTTTTTAAATGCTTTGATTTGACTTATTTCTACATTAGTAACATGCTCTAACGATGTAGATTTTAAAAACATATAGATTGTAGCGATATTCAACATTTTTAACCCTTAATCACATGTGATTAAATACGTAACAACGTATTTAGCAAGCCCAGGTAAGGTGCGAAGTCCGCTATCCACGAATTTAAGCAACGGCATCATTGTTATTTACAACTTACTACAGCAACAACCGTCATAAATCAAAAGATATGAATGCTTTTTATTATAAATATTTGATATTTCTTATTTTTGAAGATTTTAATATATGAGTCACTAGCGGCTGAATAGGAGGGGATCAGAGGTATACATATTGACATACCTCTCTTTGACATTTTTGTACAATTCTCATTATACAGAGTGTTCAAAAAGTAAACAAATAGGTTAATCGTTATAAACAATGAGAGCAATAGAAATCCGTTTCTTTATTTACTGAACATTCTATATATTTTATATAGTGAATTTAATCATTTACGCATACACTTACTAGAGAGCCATTTACGCAGATATTGTAGGGTCAGGAGGTGCAAACACAATAATTGTAATCAGTACGAGTTTAGCTCTTTGATGCCCCGTGCAAAATTATTATCCTGCCTCTATTGCTTAGTATCCAGTATTTCGTATACGTTCATTATTATTAATAATTAATATTTATTACACTATAAATGAATAATATTCTCAGGTATCAATAAAATCTTTTAAGCCGATTTTTATTTATTTTTAAATTTGACATTTAGTATTTCCTATGATTACGACTAAAGTTATTTTAAATTATTTTTATATTTATTTGAAAAATCTTGTATAAAAATTTAATAATAATTTTGTACTCATTAGACCAAAACAAACCACTTCTCAAAAAATGCCACCTCCCAAAAATAGCCGCCATAAGATACGGCCTACTTGGCCTATCCCTAAATACACCACTAATTGTAAATATAATAAATAATTGTATGAAAAGGAAGTGACATAGTTATTAAGTCATTGTCTTTTTTCCCTGATTGCCATTAAGGTATTATCATATAATGTATAATTGAAATTATTTAATGACGTTTTTTATTTATTCAAACATAATTAATTGTTAATATTTATCTAGAAACTAAATATTTAATTTTTAAAATAGTTAATGCTCATTGCTGTTATAACGAAGAATACAAATTCAGAGTTTATGGAGTATAACAATTTATTGGAGGATGTTTTAACGAGTGGTACAATAATTTCACCTTCTTCAAAAAGTGTGTAATATTTATATATTTTTTAGTTAATAAGTTATTATAGTCATTGGGGGAGTAGGTTTAGTATGGAATAAAATTCAACAAAATTCTATAATATTTAAACCTTTGCTGATTAATTATGTAATTGTGGTAAACAGAAAACTAAGGTAATTTTCTATAATACACTACTGCAAATATAATTTTTTTGTACACATGAAAAAAGTACCAGGATATCTGGGAATCTAAAAAAAATTATATCGCATATGAAGTCTTAAAATTTTTTTTCAACTTGATATTTAATATAATAAAAATTTTACATGATAGATAATTAATTTCCTTTTAGTTTACTTTTTAGGAAAATTCAGTGAAAAATATGAGTAATGGATAGATTATAAAAAGACCTCCATCTCATAAAATTTTTTTTTCAACTCAATTTTCAATTATTTTAGGACGTCGGTCTTATTTTAATCTATATCTGATTATAGCTCTTAAAGTGTACTATAGTATTAATAATAAAAAAATTCCAACCCACAATTCTCTACTACTAGAAAACATCAGTCAAAGTAAAAAAATTGCTTGATAGGTTTATACATGCCTATGATTTCCTATAATAAATATATCATATTTCCAGGAAAAGAATCCTTAGTTAAAAATGACGATTTTTCAAAAGATACAAAAATTGATTTATATACTAATCATTGCTATATTAAATATTAATGTTATTTATCCCTAATTAAAGATATTACAATTTTTGTATAAATCTAACCATTTACCTGCCCACGGAATGAGATTCAAAATGACAACTTTTTCACAAAAAATTAAATTTTTCAACTTAACTTTTGAAAGTGTTCCGGAAATACTGACACTTATATATATATTGGTTTCAGTATTTAATTAAAGCTAATTTAATATATTTTATTATGAAAAAAAAAAAATTTCGGCCTTCATTTTGTCATCATGGTGAAAATAGCTACCGTATGTTATTTTTGTGTTAAAATTTTCGATTTTGTATTTTATATTATTTTAAAATACCTTACAAAAGTTTTTGAGTTAAGGAAAAATTTTAAACTTATTTGATTTTTATCTCATTAAGATTTAATAGCTTTAATAAATATCAAGGACCCCATCATTGCAGTCCCCCTCGTTTAAAGAAATTTCTTATTTATATTAAAGTTTTTTAACTATGTGATTTTTTTTTATGGCTCTCGTTTATTTTCTCAGCTCTCACTAGACCAACTTTTTTAACGATACATCAAATGATCACAATTATTATCTAGTTAAAGATATTACACTCAAAAATTGAAAAAATTTCCACTTTATCAATGAAAAATTTACTTAGCTCACATTCTCCATATAGACTATTAAAATCATTTATTTTTAATTTTTCACTGATTATTTTTAAAATATTAAAAATAAAATTCTGTATTAATTTAAAAACAATTTTTTTGTGTCTTCAATTATTTTTTTATCGTAATAAATCATTTCAAAAGAAATATTAATAATTTCTATGTAATTCTTGGTGTTTAAATAGAAGATGCAATTGAAATATTCAGAACTATTTGCCTTAAAGTTATAATCTATAGTCTTTAACTAATTAGTAATAATATCAAAAATTATTGGTGATGAAAAACATATAATTGCTGATTTGAAATTAGCACGAAAAATTAAATAATAAAAGTATATTTTTTACTCTAATGAAAATTTTTGCAAATTATTATCTGAATAGTTCTGTGTGCAAGCCCCTCAATTTTTATACACGTTTACCATAAAAGTAATAACTACTTTATAATTTTTTATAAATTCTCCAAACAAATTACAATACTAAATTATTAAATATCAATTTCATACTACATTGAATTGCTTTAATAGATAATTATTTATAAATTAGACTTATAAATCAACTACTAATTAGAAATAATGATAGAAATATGAGTTAATTTTGCTTTTAGAATAATCAACCAATTTCTTAAATTAAAGACTATTTACAGATTACATCGTAACGTTTTTTATAATTGTGATTTTAATCAGTCAGATATCATCTATACTGCACCCAACTATACCACGTCCCCACTGTGCTGGTTGGATTTTTTATTTTGGTATTTTAAATTGAATTTGAATATTATAGATAAATAAAAATATTTAAAATAATTTTTTTCTTTTTAGTTGATTTAAAGTTTTTATTTCATAACTTTTACAATCTGAAAAAGAGTAAATTTAGTTTGTTATTTGTTTTCTCTCTAAATATTATAGGTTTGTCACTAAGCAATTTAAAAAATGTTCACCTTTATAAAGGAGGTGATGAAAATACGAAAGCAGAAACATATAATAATGGGGAAAAAAGTAATGAAGAATCACTGAAAAAGTACAATCGAAAAAAGGGAGGTTTGGATAATGGCATATTACATCAAGGAAAATATTTTTCTCGTAATAAAAAAAAAAAAGGAGCAACATACAAAAAAGAACACAAGAATAAAAAGTATAAAATAAAAAAGGTAATTATAATAATATATGGGCAAAATAAAAGAAGAAATAAAAAAAGTATATAATAATAGGGTTTTCGTGATAAACATCACAAGGATGAAAAACATGATGTAAATACTTTCTGGGATAATTATGAAACATATGAAACATTTAAAAAAATTGGTAAAAAGAAAAATAAAAAAATTAACGGTCAAAAAACTAAAAAAAGAAATGAAAAAAATAAAGTAAGTAAATTCTAGAATATTATTGGCTTATAGCAAAAATCTGGTAATCATAAAAACAATATTTTAGAATATTGTTTTTATTTTTATATCTTCTACAGTTCGATGTTAATAATAGAAAATAAAAAAAACTTTATAAGATATTAATACTAAATAATTACACAAATTATAGAATCACATTTCAATAATTTTTTTAATGTAATATATACAAGATGATTTTTTTATCACAAATTTGATTTGAACTACTACAATACAATCTAATGATACAATCATCTTTCGTTAAATATATATATATATATATTTATGCTTTCTTAGACTATGTCATCGTCATAATTTTTATTATTTCTTATTAATAATAAATACATTTTTTTTTTTAATTTATAATTTCAAAATATTCAATTTTTATACAAAATTAATAAATGGGACAATAATAATTTAAGGACCACTAAATATTAAGCTAGAAGCATTTTAATATATAGTCAGTATGCAATACGGATCGAGTATGCATTAATATAAATATCAATATAAGTTGCACCCAATGAACACCTTTGTATTTATGTATACACACACAGAGTGATTCACTTATCATAATCCACTGAATTAATCAAATATTAAAAAATAACACTGTTAACATTATGTTGGTTTCTTGTAATTCTACGTTTTTTTCAATATATTACTCATGAAATATTTCTCATGTTCATTCCTTATTCCTAATGGGTGTCAAATTTCATTTTTCAAAAGGAAATGCACAAAATTAACTAGAGAACTTAATATTAATCTTAGATAATGATGTAATTTAAAAAATAATTAATCGATTTTCAAGCCGTACTCTTTCTCTTGCCTAGGTATAAATATGTCAAAATCTTCCGAAATAGTTACTATTAAGGGATGAACATAACAAAATATATCATGGTTGATAGATTGAGAAAAAAAATTGAATTAAAAGAAACCAATAAAAAAATTATTATTACTATATTTATTATTCAAATATTAAGTAGTTTATATATATTATATAGATTGATAACTCTGAGGGCTTACTTTATTTTATATATTTAGAAAAGTAAAACTGAAAACGGAAATAAAAAAAAAGCAAAAGCAGAGACTCAATCAGGAATCAACGTAGACACTGGTTTAAACAAGAAAAAATTAAATAGTTCACATTACAATAATAAATTTAAATATCAAAAAGATATGGGAAATACTCATAAGAATAGGAACACATAAATATAATAATTTAATGCTTCATTAAAAATAAAATATATTTAAAGTGAGAAATAGAAAAAAATAGATATTAGATAACATAGTCTTAAGTATTATAATACAATATTGAAGTAAGGAGTTATTGATTTTATTAAGTTAATAGGTTATATATAACCTGATAAACTTAATTACATTGGCCTATTAATTGATACAATTCAATTAAGAAGAAAATTTGATATCATACTTTATTTTTTTTTAAATTATCTTTGAGATCTAACAGAAAAGTTGAACTGTAATTGAATCATTTAAAAAATGTATTTTAGCCATAATATAAAATATTATTTACTGTGTATAATGTAATTAATTTGAAACTATAACAGCATTAAAAACTTAAACAACTATAAATATGTTCTTTTTATGCATAACTAATGCAATTGCACACCAAAATATTGTAGCCCAAGAATGCATTAATAAGTATTCTGTATGTGTTGTTTCATTTACTGGTTCCCAAGACCATGGAAGTGTGTCATAAAATATCTCGTGGCCAATATATAATAAAATTGAATTTTGACCTAGAAAATAAATCTTCAAAGTAAAACATTTTATTTGAACTTAATAATAATAATAACAAATCATACCAATTTCACAAAATGGAGAACCATTCCATAATCTCCAATGTTCAATAATCAAAAATAATAATATGAAAACAAAAAAAGCTGAACTTCCAGCAATAAATGTATATGATAAAGAAAACATACTCTTGTTTATTGGTATTAACCCATTTTCTTTAGAAAAATTACATAATAAACCACTAGCAAAACCCTTTAAATAACAAAAGTGTATTTTAATGAAAAATAATAAGGCAGATTAGCTTATTATTAATTATTGCAATAATTGTTGAATACACAATAACATTTTCTAAGTAAATTAACTAACTGTAAACTAGTTGTATAAAATATTGCATAGTTTATAATGAAATTAATGACATATTATCTTATGCAACCTTTCTCAGGACTAACTTGATCAAAACTATTATAATTGTGTTCTCGAGAAATTACTTCTATTGATATCTTGATTGTATGAAATTTTAATATTATAAGAATGATTATACATATCAACAAAGGACTAATGGCGGAAAAAATTCCCAACCAAATTTTTTTTTTTTAAAAAGTTGAATTAAGATATGTATAATTACATACTAAAAATCCTCATCGATTGAACTTGAGCTTTTTTTTTACAGCTTTGCAAAAGTTCAAAAATATGAGCTTTTTTAATATTCTCAAAAAATATTTAACTTACAAAAAAAAGTTTCGTACAAAAGTTGTTTAAAAGACAATTTTGAACAAAAAAGGTATCGTATTTTTTTTCATTTAAACAAATATTTTTTGAGTTACATTACATTTAATATGAGTACTAAAATTTATTTTCTAATTTTTTTCATCTTACGGTTACTTTTTATCATGTTATACTTACATTAGACACAATGTTATAAATGTATATGTGTGTATGTGTGAGTTTATTTATTTATTGTATCATTAAAGTGTAGTGTATATTAAGATACAACCGATAGAGTAGGTAATTGATTTGACGCTATATTGTTTAAACCCAACTAAATGCTAAATTGTACATTTCCAAAGAACAATTATATTATGACAATTGCAACCGGAGTTTCTGCTAATCTTTTTCTTTTTCTTTGCCTTAATCCCAACTACTTGGGGTTGGCCACCCTCATCCTAAACATCCACTTGACACGATCTCCCACATCATCTACGCTCACATCAGCTGTCCTCATATCGCATTCAATAATATCCCTCAATCTTTTTTTTGGTCTTCCTCTACCTCTTCTTTCTTCAACATTCATTTCTATAACTGTTCTTACAGCTTCCGATTCTTCTTTCCTCATAACATGACTAAATCATCTAAGTCTATTTTCTCTCATCTTATCCACGATTAACGCTACACTTATACTCCCTCTTATTTGCTCGTTCCTTATTCTATCTTTTCTAGTCACTCCACTCATCCAACTATAAGCATTTTCATCTCTGCTACACTCATTCTCTGCTCTACTTTCTTATCAACCACCCAACACTCTGAACGATACATCATAGCTGGTCTCACTACATTGTTGTAGAATTTACCTTTTAGCCTCATTGGAATTCTTTTATCCCATAAGACACCAGACGCTTCTCTCTACTTTAACCACCCGTACTTAATCATGTGTCTTACATTCTCGTCAATACCACCGCTCTTTTGCACTACTGATCCTAAATACTTAAAACTTTCTACCTCCCCATTCACACTCTCGCCTATTGTCACTGATCTCCTCATTTCACCTACCTCATGTTCTCTTTTGTCAAGCCAGCCAGAATTTCTGGTAATGATAAAATTAATTGTCATAAAGTGTCTAAAATTGGTCTTGTTCTAGTAAACTCAATGATAATAACATTCATGATATAAATCTTAATAGGTCAAATAAAGTTTTAACTGTATCTTCAATAACTTCTATTGCTAAAATTAATAATGAAATGATTAAAGTAAACCCATTGCTACTATTTCAACTAAACGCTATTTAAAAAAAAAACCAGCAGTGTCCCGGCACATTGTGTATAATTGGGTGCAGTATAGATGATATGTGACAGTGATTAAAAAAAAAAACGCCTAGATGCAAATCTGTAGATAGTGTTTAATTTAAAAATATTAATGGATTATTACAAAAGCTACATGATCTCCTATTTCCTTATTTATATCCTAAATACAAGTTATATGCATTACTAGTGCAAAGTATGTAATCGATGGAGGATTTCTCCACTATAAAGTTATTTGACAAATGTATCAAACAAAATTTTTTTCCATTTTCATAATCATTTTCCCATTCTAAATTTTGATAGAATATATCTTCAACAAAAGTACAATTTTCTTAATCTTCAATCTTTATTTCTATTGAATTTGTACGCCATTGACCTTTGCAATTTTCACAAATAATAAAACATTTAAGCACTGTTTTTCGGCAGCCAAAATTTTTACCAGCTCCAGCACTTGACTAAACGCCGTTTTATGACAATTTTTATTATTAGCAGAAATTCCAGTTGCAATTGTCATAATATAATTGTTCTTTGGAAATGTACAATTTAGCATTTAGTTGGGTTTAAACAATATAGCGTCAAATCAATTACCTACTCTATCGGTTGTATCTTAATATACACTACACTTTAATGATACTATAAATAAATAAACTCACACATACACACATATACATTTATAACATTGTGTCTAATGTAAGTATAACATGATAAAAAGTAACCGTAAAATGAAAAAAATTGGAAAATAAATTTTAGTACTCATATTAAATGTAATGTAACTNTTTTTTTTTTCAAATTAAAGTACATTACATTAGCTTTAATTTAAGATATATATAAAAGTGTCAGACCTTCCGGAACATTTTCAAAAGTTATGTTGAAAAAGTAAATTTGTTGTGAAAAAGTTGTCATTTTAAATCCCCCCCTGTGGGCAGAAAAAAGGTGAAATTTACAAAAAAAATATACCAAATGATAGATAAAGACATCAAGCATCTATAAAAAAAAAATCCGTTCGGTGAGAGCAGAGAAAAAGTGGTAACGGACACAAAAAAAAAAAACACATCATAGTAAAACCAATACCTTCTCAGCTTCGCATCGAAGCTAAAAAATTGGAAAATAAATTTTAGTACTCATATTAAATGTAATGTAACTCAAAAAATATTTGTTTAAATGAAAAAAAATACGATACCTTTTTTGTTCAAAATTGTCTTTTAAACAACTTTTGTACGAAACTTTTTTTTGTAAGTTAAATATTTTTTGAGAATATTAAAAAAGCTCATATTTTTGAACTTTTGCAAAGCTGTAAAAAAAAGCTCAAGTTCAATCGATGAGGATTTTTAGTATGTAATTATACATATCTTAATTCAACTTTTAAAAAAAAAAAATTTGGTTGGGAATTTTTTCCGCCATTCGCCAAAATTACTCCTTTATTGACTGGCCTAATAGTAACTTTTAAAATTTAATTTTTTTATAAGTAGAATATAAAAATGGTAGAGGAAAATGTCGATTAGTCAAGGCCTTCAGGTATCTTGGTAAAAAAATTTTCCTGAATAGCAATAGACTTGGTTTGATGTCTAGTTTACTGAAATAATTTTATCACGTAAATAGTAGGTTATCAATTATTTAATTATTATTAAATAGTACCATCAAATGGTGAATTTTAATGGGGAGTGGTTAAACTAGAGGCAGTTAAATATCTTTAACATTTTATTCGTATCAAATTACAGTATTATAAAATTTTTACAAGTATTGTTAAGAAATACAAATTACTTGTTTATAAAAATTAAGTGACAAAATCTGTAAAGTATTTAACTGCTCTAAGTTGGTCCATTTTATGGTAATTATGTTATAATAATATTACCTAATAAGATAGTTAAATATACATTCAATATACATTATAACAGATAAATTTACATGTATCTTTCCCTAATTTTTAATAATAATTTAAAAATGGTCTAAGTAGAATAAATGAGAAAAATTGCTCGGGTTACTTACTAGTACAATTGTCCAAATAGTCCAACGTTTTATTCGTTCATTAGTGTACTGATAACATAAAATAATTCGCCCTGCATGAACGCCCAAATAGACAAGTAAAACATTAGTTAATGTACTCAATATACCTAAAAAAATGAGTAACTTTACTAAATTATACTTGGTCAATTTATTATGATTTAATAAAATGTAAGTTTAACAGGACTTTCTTATACAATAACTTATTTACTTAGTTGAGGGCATGTAAAAAATAAATAAGTATAATAAAAACATTTAAAAAAATTAAAACAAACTATTATTTTAAAAAGTATAGTTAAACTATTTATATAATGAGTACCTTCATTTTCAAATGGTTTGGATTGGTAAATTTCATTAGCATAACCATAGAACATATGATTTTCTCCTAATATCATTCTGTCTATATAACCAGCTGCACCACCAGTACAGTTATAATTCTTTGAATGATTATATAAACCACCAGGGCCTAAATAACCTTTAGGACAACCAGGAACTTTTAATAAAAAAGTAACTGCTGTATGTACACCCACTAATAAAATAATTATAAACCACTGCGGAGCACTTTCAATAACATCTCTGATTATATCAAACTTTGTATTCTATAAAATAATAAAAATAATTTTCTAGTTATTATAATTTATAACTAGGTAAAACAATATTAAAATATGTAAATTATAATTATTAGGTTATTAGAAATAATTAGTTTACCGTGAAATATGGTTGGGGCTTCATAAAAATTGTTTCCAGTGAAGATGCAACAAAATATATAATAGCTAATCTTTGTAATATCCCCAATGGTCTAAATGTATTTAAATTGTTATGATGTACTGAATTTAATATTAATCCCATAATTAATAAAACAAATGATCTCCGGAAAATACGGCCAAATACATATTTTCTTTTTGTGCTTGATCGTAGCTGAGATCGTAATGATATTGCTATGCTCACTCCCATTACCCAACAAAACCTATTAAGTTAGAATAAAATTATGCCTTCAAAATAGTTTTAACAGTATCATAATCAAAAGTTTATTTTAAGATATTTAGTGATTAGTCAGCAATCACGAGAAATTTTTGACTGATTAGGAATATTAACATATAAGGAATAGGAAAAAGGGGGCTAGTGAGGATAAAGTTTTCTATAGTCTAAGAAATTGAAAACTTTTCTTAGAAATGTGGAACTAACTAAGATCTTGTTCAAAATTATTTATTTTTAGTAAATTATTTTGAACAATCATAGTATTTTGAATCATAGTAGTAGAAGAGTGGCACAATTCCTTTAACTCTATTTTAAACACAATATCCTTCAATATTAATCTTTTTAAATAACTTAAAAAAAGAAGAAAAATTGAATTGATTCAAAACCAAACAGATCATAGCAGGAAGAGAATCAACCTACATAAAAAATAAGTAAAATAATAGTAACAATACTCTTTATGTTCCTGTACTGATTATGTGTAAAAGTAAAAGGCAACTCACCACAACAAAAATCTTAGCTTTGCTAATTGTTATTACACTTAGGATAAAAAAATAGTGATGAATATTTTCTAGTTATCTTTGTAGATTATTGGCAATGGAATCTTTATATATATACTTAAAGACAAATATTAAAAACTTTTTTTTAAACAATAATTATTATTCTGCAACTATATTAATAAATTACCAAGGAAAAATAAAATCTGCTATTCTAATACCATTCCATGGAGTATGTTGAAAAAACCAGTAACGTCCACCACCCATGTTGAAAAATATCATAAGAGTTATTGATATTCTAAAAATTAATTAAAATTTAAATAGTTTATGGATGATTGAATTAAATATTAAATAAGCTAATTTTAAAAATTTCTGAAACAATAATAAGTGTATTTATAAACAATAAGAGATTATAAATATATATATTGAAAAACTTATAATATTTATTTAAATATTATAAAACATCTATTATGAAATTGTAAAATTCTTACCCTCTAAATGCATCTAATGATGTAATTCGGGAACTTGTATTTTTTACAGGTGTAGGAATATGAGGTTGAATAATGACAGGTTCATTAGAACCTGTACCAAAATCCTAAAATGTACAAACTTGTAGCATTTTTAATATTCATTTAATAAAAAAATTAAATATGATAGAGTAAAATTAATTCTATGTGAAAAAAATAAAAATTATGTGATACCTAACCAATAGATATTCATTCATATTTTTGTACATAACTTTATTTATCAGATTTAAGATCATATTTAAGATTTATATTTCATATAAGATATTAAATTTTCAATTTACTCTAGAATGGCTTAAATGAAACATTTATTGATGGTGAATAGACAGTTTAGGTATATTTATCTTTTAAATATTACATGAATATATTAACGATTTTATATTAGCAAATGTAATGATATTATTTAATATGATGATAAGGTTAACTTCATTAATGACCTTTTTTTATTTAAAAACAAATTTTATTTTCAATTTAAATATAAATATTATTAAAAACTTATTATTACTTATTATTAACTTATTATTTCACTTACATTTTCAATATCCAAATCAGTTTTAGATGAAAACCGAAACACTGATGGAACTACATTAGTTTTTTGTATGTAAGTAATGAAAAACCAAATGGAAAAAGATGGTATAATAAGAAGCAATGCAAATACAAAAGCTAAAATGGAAAATAAGTTCATTCTTAGTACATTTCAAAAAAAAATATTATTTATACAAAATATAATTGATTAAAAATCAAGACTCAGATTGTTCTTAAAAAAAATTTTATTATTATTAATATAGTTAAATTTATAACTGTATTAATAACAATGACTTACGCATATAAAAGTCATGAGAAAGTGAAAGTGCTTCTATTTTAGAACAATATGAACTGTTTGTAATATTCCATCTATAAATACCATGTTCTTCAAAGTTATACAGTGTACTATAAGATAAAATAAATAATAAAAAACCAAATTTAAATAATATTAATATTAGTTAAAGAAATAAAATTTAAAGAAATTTGTTTTGAGAGGATTAATTTAATTTAATTCCTTTTTTAGCTTCAATCCGATACTGAGGGAATTTTGGTTATACCATGATATGCGGTTTTTTGTGTTTGTCAATAAAAATTCTAAGTTTTCACTAGACTAATTTTTTTTTTTATCATGCATAAAAAAAATTATAACATTTATTGAAAAAAAAAAATTATATCTAAAGATAGTTTTTAGGAATTACTCATGAAAGTTAAACAAGAACCTATATTTAATTTAAAATTAGATGGAAAATGGACTTGATAATATTTTGACTGGTTGATTAACAACTAGATATAAATATTACTTGTTGACAGTATTATAAACAGGGGTAAGGTTTTAACTCTGTCTGAAACTAGTTCAGCTTAATAGTGGGGGATGTGGGAGCCTTTAGATCTATGGGTTTATTATCAATCTATAATTAAAACCTTACTAAAATCTTTGGTATATACTGCTTTTTGAGATATAAATATTTAAAGATTTAAAAAAGTGGAGGAGCGATAGAGTGCTCTATTTCTACCATAAGTATTAGAAGCATAGATTTTACCATGATATTTTCTATCCTTATAATTGTACTATAAAAATCTTAACTTTTGCAGATCCAATTCAGCTAAATTTAAATTTAATAAGCTCCCCAAATTTAGTGATTATCCATAAACTATAAATAAGAATAAAGAAAATGTATTAAATTTAAAACTTATAAAATTACTACAACTTCTAAAACAATAACTTTTTACTAATGGTTTTATGGTAAAAAAAAAAAATAAAATCCTATAAAAAAGTTAGATTCTTTAAGTACTATAAACATTTTTTTGAACAATGTTTTACTGTTATTAAACAATTGTCAACTATAAGACAATCAACTTATTACTAACAGGTTTATAACTTATTAAAATAATTTTTAAAATAGTTTTTGAGTTTTTAAATGTTCAGACATAGATTTAATGAGTTTTTAGAGCAATACTTGAAAATATAAAATAATGAAATTACCTGCAGTTTTCATTGTTTTGATCATTTGTCAGATGTAACAAAAGACGATAAATTGTTTTCAAACGAATAGTTGTTACTTTATAGTTGGTTATATTTGTTACTTTTAATAAATCACACTGAAAAAATTAGTTTCAATAGGTTAAATAATTATACACTTAAAACTAACTGTTTCTAAATATTTATAAAATATTTATTTCAATGCACAAAAATAAAAAATAATCATTTAGTTTATGCGACTATTAGTTTCATAATAACACATATACTAACAAAAAACTTAAATATTTGTAAAATAAATTATTTTAACAATTAACCTACATTAGTAATAACTAAATTTATCAATTATATTGTTAATAAATATATATTATAATAATGTAAAACAGTTATAACTTGATTTCAAACTGAAATAAATTAAATTAATATTATTTTAATATTAATAATAGGTTATTATCATAACTTACATTATAGCATTCTTCAGACTGCATCCAAAGAGATGTATTTGAAGTATTTGTAGCCCATATTTGTAGGCATGCTTGGTCATAATTTAAAGTTTTGCAGTCGTCAGATGCCATTCTAAATCTAAAAAAAATTAGCTCTGAGAATAAGAGTAGTTGAGACTGTTTATGTTAAGTAAAAAGAACTTACATTTATACATTGAGTCTTATACTAGAATAACATATTATAATCTAGTAAAAAATAATAAGTAAATCATTACTGATTATTATTAAATAGGTAAATAATAATAGCTTTAAGTCAATTAAAAATTTAATCGTTACCAAAAAAAAGTTGTCAAAAACATGGCTATGATTAAGAGTTTTAATTATGTTAAGTCATTGGTGAACTAAATTTTAAAGAAACCCCAACCTATTATTAAAGTATTGTAAACAATCGGAGAAAATAATACGATTTCTCTTCGTATAGTTAAATACCTACTACTTCAATTTTGTTTTCATATTACCATAACTGTTATCAAAACATTGAAATATTCAAAAATAAACATATGGTTATTTAAACCACATTAGTATTAACATTTTAATGTTACTGCTATCTATCTGTTAAAGATACAAATAACACTTAAATTCTATTCAACCGTACAGATAACGTTATCCAATACTTTAAAGACACGTGTATTGTAGAATTGTGGCACTTGTTATCATTTAGATAAACTTAAATTTAAAGGGTTCTGTGCACCTTACATTTCAAATATTTATGACTAAATAACTACAGTGTTAAGTTAAATTAAGTAATAATCTATAATGATTTTTAATTTCTAAAATAATTAATAAAAATCTCTCGTACAATCATTTTATTTGTTCGATAACCGCTGACGTTAATCCTTAGTTATTTAATATGGACAAACGTGTAAAATTTGTTGTTTGTGCTGCTGGAATTTTTGTATGTTATTTTTTTTATGGTATACTTCAAGAAAAAATTACTAGAGGTACATATGGAACAGATGGAGAAAAATTTACTCACACGTTATCTCTAGTATTTGTTCAATGTGTGGTAAATTATGCTTTTGCAAAAGTAATTCTTCAAGCTTTTCCTGAAGATTCGGATACTACTAGCTCTACATATTACTTAATAAGTTCACTTACATATTTAATAGCTATGGTTTTTAGCAATATGGCTTTACAATGGGTTGATTATCCAACTCAGGTATTATTAATTTATCGTTAGCATAATATTTAAAATTTATTTTGTTTGTTTTAAAGCAAAGTGATAAAAGTGACCAAAATTATTGTAATATTATTTGAAATATTTTTTGTATTACAATATTTAATGTCCTTGTCTCCGCAGCCTTTAAAGAATTAAGTTTAACTATGTATGTTATGAATAATATTACTAGAGTAAAGTCTTGCTAATTATAAATTAAATAGTATTGACTTCACATAATCATTATTACTATACGCAATATTTTATATTTAAAGTTTTGATATAGAAAGACTATTATTTTTTCATTTAAATCAAAAATTTTATTTCTAGGTTGTTGCAAAGTCAGGTAAACCTATACCAGTTATGATTTTGGGAGTTATCTTAGGAAGAAAGTCTTATCCATTAAAAAAATATTTATTTGTGTTGTTGGTTGTTATTGGAGTTGCTTTATTTATGTTTAAAGATGGAAAATCTAAAACATCTCGATCTGAGTCTAGTAAGTACAGAATTTTTAAGTTATTGAATTAAAATGTGGTTTATTTATTTTTTTTTTTTTACAAGTTATTGTACTTTGTGAAATTGAATTTTAAAATTTTTTCTAGTCCTAGGCTTAGGAGAAATACTTCTTATATTGTCATTAACAATGGATGGTGTTACTGGTGCTATTCAAGAACGTATGCGAAGCGAATCAAAAACTAAATCTACTCATATGATGATTAACATGAACTTATGGTCAATGCTATTTTTAGGGATTGCTCTTATTGTTACTGGTCAAATATTTGAATTCATTGGTTTTGTTCAACGTTATCCACAATTAATTGTACACTTAATGATGTTTTCAATATTTAGTGCTTTAGGACAGTTTTTTATATTTTGGACTGTCAGTGATTTTGGACCATTACCCTGTTCTATTGTAACAACTACCAGAAAATTCTTTACTGTACTTGCATCAGTATTACTATTTGGTAATCCAATGCTAACTAGACAGTGGATTGCTACCATTGTAGTATTTACTGGGTTGTTTTTAGATAGTTTTTATGGAAAACAAACAGTTAAAACTAAATAATTTTTGTAAAAATGATATTCATTTTATTACTTACATCTTATATGTTCAGCATGAAATGTAAAAAATATGTATAATATATTATATTAAGTTATTTTTATAAAATATTGTATGAAGTATCATTACTTTAATAAAGTAATAATTCTTGTGTTTAGTTGACATTTTAATTTTATTAAATGTAGAAAAATTGTTATATTAATTAATTTCTATTATTTAAGAGAATAAATAATATTTGTATTCATGACTTATATCTTCTCTGATATTTTATTAACTATTCTGTTTTACAGTAGCAAATTCCTAATAGAATTTCATTTGACAAGCATTTTATAACTTCATTAATTTAAAATTTAATTCAAACAATAGGAATCAATTACTCATGACTAATATCTTTTATTTGGTAATTAATTCTTATAACATTCTATAAAATTAAGAAAACTAATATCATCTCTATTCTAATTTTTTTATGACTATAAATTTATTTTACAAATATTAAGTGAAATTTTTTTTTTATGTGTTTTAATTTAATATTTATGTATTTATGATATATTGGCCGACCCCAAGAAGTTGAAATAAGAACGAGGAAAAAGTAGATGTAGTTATGATATATTTAACAAAGTTATGTCATGTAATTTATAAAAAAAATCAATTAAGTTTATCTATTATTCCTTAATTACCAATGTAGTAATACCTAAGATGTTGGTATAAATATCTTTTAAATGTTTATTTAAAAAAAGTTTTTTGTGTCCTAAAAATTAATTAATTTTTTTCTTGTTTACTATTTATATATTTTAATTAAATATTAGTTGTTTTACTTGTGTTTCAATTTATTATATTAAATATAAAGATAAAATTACATTAATATATTAAAATTAATTTATAAAAACATGTTAACATAAGTAAAGGTAGTAAATTAAACTAATAGTTAACCAGCCTAACAAGAACCCAGAAGAGGGTCTACCATAGTTCGAGGCAAAATCAGAGTAACATGAATTATACCTCATTGTAGGGGAAAAAAGGTTATTAATAATTATAAATTAGTATAACAGTTATTAAACTGTTAACTGTAAAATATTATTAACTTCAGTAATCAGAAAAAATTTAAATAAATGGTAAATAAAACTAAAAGAATTAAGTTAAATCAATTAACAAAAATATGAATAGCCATGAGGAGCAATTTACATATTTTCATACGCTAAGTCAATATAGAGGATTTAAAAAACTTTTAAGAACTGTAATTAATATTTTTTTCTATTTTAATGTATAAATTCTTAATACAATCATCAACTACAATAACAAAAACATAATGTAACCACATAGTTAACTAAATGACAAAGATGAAATTAATTAATTATAAGTTCATAAAATACAAAAATAAGAATAATATTACATTATTATACAGATTTTGATAGAAGAGAGTGATGAATACCCATAATATCCAGATGTTAAAATCATTTTTTTGTGACATGAATATTTGTTGTTATTAATACATAGAATAGTTATTCACGCAGAACATGATGAAATTTTATTTGAATAGACGTTTAACATTATAATCAGGTGTTGCTCTTGAATAGCAGCACCTGTTATCAGTTGTGAGATTGATAACAGTTTAACCATAGCATTGGTTAACCAACTTCAAATGTTTAGTAGATGTGGCATTATTCAGTATAAGGAATCATAAGTGGTATGACTATTTACTTTTTTCATTATAAATAAATATATATGGTATGGGTAACATTAAATCTACAAAAGTACAACGCGTACTATTTGAGTATAGTTACCAATGACCTTATACTCATGGCTTTTATTAAGTCATAAGAAATTTGTAGAACAAAAGGTAGCGTTTTTAATCCAAATCGGTAGTATTCTATGAACTATTTTAATAATTTAATGTTAGTAATGCACTAATATAAAACTATGATGCATAACAAAATATAAAACTATTTAAACAGTATAGTTAAAATTATGCCTCTAAAAATGATTTGCATCATTATATTAATACACACTTGCAAAATGTTATGGTAAATTATTTTTTGATTTGTCTCATTAAATAAAAATCCTTCACTCAAAATAAGAATAGTAATGTAGTATCAAGAAAACAAGACACGTTTAAAATATTACTTATATCAATACTGACATTGAATAAATGTTCGAGAAGTATACTAAAAAATGAAATAAATTACTATTATGTAATTCAATATTATTTTGGTTTTAATAAAATTATCAACATAACATGAATTTTAAATAAACCAAAAAATTTTTAACATTTTTTTTTTACAAAAAAGTTTATATATACACAATGGAATTTTCAGGAGCTCTTTAAAATGAGTACATAATAATATAAATGTGTAATAATCAACAATCTAATAATCTCTATTCTCATAGCAACTCACTATAAGTTAATACAAAATATAGGTAATTTAGTATTTTCTGCTACGGGAGTCATTTTTTTCTTTGTCACTCATCCATTCCATCTGAAAAAATATACATTAATATTACTGTACTTATTTATAAAGTAACTTGAAAGCAATTCACAATAGGGTCATCAAATTTATACCAGTTATCAAAAATAATTAGACAAGTTATATAGTATGACATTTATATTTTAAAAATCCTTTCAGCAAGAAAATTATTTATTGATAAAGTTTATAAATGAAATATAAGCAAAATATATTTTTATTCAATTAGAATGAAGTAGAATAATTTTAACCAAAATAAAAAAATAAAACTATTTAATTTTTAATTGTAAAGAGGATGTTACAATGACATAATATTTAAGATAAAATATCTTAACAATATAACAATTTGTTAGTATTATTTTCAGCAGTGAGTTTTGAAATGTCTGAAATAATTAGATAAAAATATTAAAACACAATTATCTAATCTCCTAGCACTATTTATTATGTTTTTAGAAACAATGCTATTTTTTGTCATTTTTCATATAAAAATATTTTATGAATTTAACCCACTCTTATTACATTAAAAATAAAAATAAAATTACAAAAACTGATGATTTTTTTAATATTGATTATACTTATAATATTTTAAAATCAACAATTGAAATTTATTATTAAACAAAGTGTCTTAAAAAATACAAAAATAAGCATTATAAAGGGATATAATTAAAGAGAAGATGAGAAAATATCTATAGCAAAAATATTTCATTACGTGAAGATATAATTTATTATTTAATTTAAAGGGATAGTGGAAATATTTCTTATGTATCCGGAACAAAATTCTTACTATGTCAGAGTCTATTAGGAATAATTTAATATACGTGTATATCTAAATTAAAAAAAATATATAAGATAAATTATAATAAATAATTATAAAACTATTATAACCATAAAAAAAAAAATTGAACTTGCACTTAATTATCAATTAGGAGTACTTTAACTACAAAGTTTGTTGTAATATTTATAAAACATTAGGACAAATTAAAAATCAGAATGATAATTTAATGAAAATTTTAAGTTGGTTATTTTTTTTGTAATATCTACATTAAATATTAATTAAATTATAAGTATAAAAAAATATTTTCAAAGTTTTCTAAGAAAATTAAAGTAATATTAAACATATATCATTTTATATTCTACCTTTTGCTTATGTTGTTTTACAGCATCTTCACATCGATTCAATATCATTTCTTTAGTTAAAAGACCGTCTTCTGATGTATAGCCAGCAGCTTGCCATGCAACTCCCAATTTAGCAATTTCTCTACCAGACATACCTTCTGTCATTTCTGCCATTTTTTTACATAAAGCACTGTAGTCGAATTTCTCAACATTTAATTTACTAAAAAATATCACAAATTAAAATTTAAGTACTAAATCAAATGGATTTCATTAGTATATTTATGAATATACACTATTACACTTTGTTTTGAGTAGCTGGTGTTAGTACATATTTGTCAAAATATAACATTATTAAACGTTCGCGTTCTTCTTTACCAGGTAAACCAAATTCTACCATCTCATCTAATCTATCATTAACAGCCCAATCAAATTGTTCTGGTGTATTACTAGCCAAAACTAACATAAACCTATGAAATATGAAAATATATTGAACATTTTCTTTCATTAAATATATTTAAAATATACTTGTTTGATTGATCACCAGTTCTGTATAAGAATGCATTAAGAGTAGCACGTAAGTTTTCACTAATCATTTCTGAACTACGTTTGCGTAAAAATGCATCAGCTTCATCAACAAATAATAATAAACCTTTTCTAGAATTTATAGCCCAGTCAAACACTTTGTGCATTTCTGTCACACCATCTTTACCTAAGGGAGCTACATCACCACCAGTTAAAATAGCATAATCCATTCCTGAATGCATAGCTAATTTCTAAAAAAAAAGTACATTATTATTTTCATTAAATTAATAATAAGTTATTAAAATACCTTAGCAAATAATGTTTTTCCAGTACCAGGAGGTCCATACATAAGAATGTTTCTATACATTCCACGATTTTTCTTTGTATTTAAAGTTGCAACTGCTACATCACTTTAATAATGTAATTAAATTTACTATCAGATATTTTTAATTCATAATATTTTGATTAAAATAATATGTAAAATAAATAAAACACAGTATCAAAACTATTTATTATTAAATGAATAACTTTTTATTTATTTATTTATCTTATAAGATTAATAGTAGATGTTGGAAAATAATTAAAAAATTATCCCAGTGGATAGGGGATAAAAATACTTCTACGGTCCTTTTGCCAATCGTAAGAGGACATTAATGAGGTTACGTCAGGTTGACAGCCGGCATAATATTTTTTCAAAAAGTATGAGGAGTCCTTAACAAAACTTAGGTGGATTGTCCATCTTAGATGTATGTGGAGAAAACAGGTTACAGAAAATAAAGTAAAATGGAGAAGGGCCAAGTGAAAGTTTAGGATAAGGGTAACTGATTCCAATTAGTTGGGATTAAGGTGAGGAAAACAAAGAAAATATTTGAAAATAATAATAAAAGGAATTACAATTTATATTTTTGTTATTCCTGAATTTATTATTATTATGACAAAATAATACTATATTATAAAAAAACTCACCCCAATCTTGATTCTAATTTAGGTGGCAATATTACATCTTTTAATGCACTACTTTTTTTTGTTCTAAGCTCTTTAAGAGTCAAAATAGGATGCCGCACAGTTTCTAACAATGAAAATCTAGACGTTTCTCGTACCAAAGATGGCTTACCTAAAATTAAAATATTATTCTGTTAACTTAAAAAAATAAAAACTTCTCGAAAATATTATATTTATATAATTAATTACCAAGTCTAGATTCTACATATTTTGCTGTTACGTTAGTAAATCCTTTTGCACTGTAAATACCTAATGCTAACAATGACAATCCTCCAGCTGCCATTAATGTTTTATCCCAATCTGTTAATAAAGCATTTGCTCCACTTCCAAAAATAGATCCAGCAGTTCTGTGAGAAATATATATTTAATAACTGAACAAAATTGTATGTTTCTTTGATAACAAAAATAAAATTATACTTGATTGACTCTAAAACAGTTTGGCGATGTTCAGAAGCTTTTAGTTTAAGTTGTTCTAAAATTAAGTCATGATTTTCTCTCTCAGCTTTTGCTCTTGCTAATGCTTTTGCTTCTGTTTTTTTAGCATCTAACCTTGATTTCATCTCGATTTCATGTTCAATGGTTGCTATATATTAAACAAAAATATTTCTATAAATTTAATGTTAATTGTGTTAATATGAATGATAAAACCTTTTTTCATTGCTTCTTGCTTAGCAACAGATTCTTCTTGGCGTCGTAAATTTTCCTCATTAGAGGCACGCTGTTGCTGAAGTTGATCTTCATATCTATTATATTTCCATACGTATATACATTTATATAAATATTTGTATATATTAAAAACTATACCTTTTACGGGCTAGTTGATCTTGATATTGTGCACGTAGTTGATGTTGTTTAGTTTCTTCAGCTAATAATTTTTTTCTTTCTTCAATTTCTGCTCGTTTTTGTTCATTTCGTGCTTGTTCCAAATGAATTTCATATTCTTTAATTTTAGACTGATATTCAATTTGCTTAGTGGTTTCTTGTAGTTTGGCTAAATCTAATGCTTCTTTGGCATGCTCTAAGACACAATATATATTTTATAATTAATAATAATAAAATCTCTAATATAAGTAGTATATGGACAAACAACAAAGCCATATAACATTTCTTATACCATACTAAGCAATTTAATACAAATATATTAAACAATATTTGAGTTTATTAACACTTACTTGATCTTTCTAATTCTTTAGCAGCTTGTGCAGCTCGTTCTAATGCTGAAGAATCAAATTTATATGCTTCACCACTTGATGATGATTGAGGTGGAGTTGGTTTTTTTTCTGACAAACCAGGTACATCTTCTAAATTAGGGGGTTCTGGTTTATTGTTACCACCCATTCCAAAAATCCACGACATAGTGTATATTATCTTAAATATTAATTTACTTATTTCACTTAAAAAAGAATCTCATTAAAATTATCAATTAAATTAACTAACAAAATGTTTTGATACTAGAAGGTGATGATGACAGTAATTAGAAGAACTATGCGTAATTCCAAGTACTCATAAAAATGGATAATTAAAATAAAAACTACAATTTTCTTTTTAAAAATATGTACAACAGTATATTTAGAATATGATAAAAAAAAAAAAAAATTTGCTCATGCAGTCTTATACATTGGATAAGTAAAAATATTATAGAGAATATATACATAACCTAACATTTTTATTCATGTTGACCATTACTTAAATACTAAATTTCATTTGAAATAAATAAAAATATTTTTACCATATAAAATATTTTATTTTTAATTAATATTAATATATTTTAAGTGACAACACATAGTGGGTAGCGACATCGAGAAAAATAGTAACAAAAGTAAATGATGGAGTTAAAAGTGAAATTAGGAAAAAAGTATTAGTAACTATGTTTCTGAAGCTTGGAAAATGTTGATATTAAACCATCTTATAGACAGTCTTTTTTTTATATTTTTTAGTTAGACATTTTTTACTTTTTAAAGTATTTTTTGGGACATACATTTTTGAGCTTATACCCTTCAATATAAATAGTGTATACATATTATTTTAGCTTTGATGCGAAGCTGAGAAGGTATTAATTTTACTATGATATGTTTTTTTATGTCTGTTGCCATTTTTTCTCAGCTCTCACTAAACCGATTTCTTTCAATAATACATCAAAAGATCACAAATCGTATCGATTAGAAGTCATTACATTTAATTATTAAACAAATTTCCTTGTTCCCTATAAATGGGAGAAATACCCCAAAAAAGTACTATTTTTAAAATCGCTGATTTTCGACATTTTTTAAACTTTTTTTTCTTAAAAGCTTTTTGAAAAATGAACAAATCAAAATATTTTTTTTTTTTTTAATTGAAAATTTAGGTATTTCCCTTTTATTTGATATAAATTTTTTGAAAATCCGACCCTTTACCTGCCCTTAGGAGAGTATTCAAAATAGCAACTTCTGCACAAAAATTTAACTTTTTCAACTTAAGTTTTGAACATGTTCTGAAAATACTCCGAGATTCAAAATATGTTAATATAAAGCTCATATTATCTGCTCTAAGTTCAAAAATAAATTGATCCCGATGACTTATTGTCTATATGCAAATGCTGCCGTTTTTGAGTTTAATGTTTTTTTTTATTTTTAAATACTTTCAAGAGTTTACTATAGTAATGAGTCTCTCAATTTTTATCAAATTTATATGAACCTAACCTTACATTAGATATAAATTTAAGAATTATTTTGATTATTTTGTCTCATAGAGTTAAGAAAAAAATGGTGCTTTGAATTATTGAACTAATTTTGATTATCATTTTTAGCTACAAATATATGTAGTGATATTACACGATAGCTGCGTCGAATGTGTTGCATCTTCTACGCTCAGGGTACGAAGTTCAAACCCCACCCGTCAAATAACTTTTTTTACATTTTAGATTCGATGCGAAGCTGAGAAGGTATTAATTTTACTATGATATGTTTTTTTTGTGTCTGTAACCATTTTTTCTCAGTTCTCACCGAATCGATTTCATTCAACGATATGGCAAAAGATCATAAATCGTATCTTGTCCAAGACATCACCTCAAAAATTGAAAAAATTTCCCTCGTTCCCTGTAAATGGGGGAAATCCCCAAATAAATTACAAATTTAAAAATCGCTAATTTTCGACATTTTTTCAATTTGTTTTAATTAAAACTGCCATAACTTTCTTAAAAATAACCAAATCAATATAATTTTTTTTTATAAATTTGACCTTTTATTTGACCGCAGAGGGGATTCAAAATGACAACTTTTTCAACTTAACTTTTAAAAATATTCCGGAAATACTGACACTTTAATATATTTTAAATGAAAGCTTATGTAATATACTATATTATGAAAAAAGAATGTTTTATTGTTTTTAATAAGTTTTGTATGATAGTGATTTTAATCTCTGTCAGATATCATTATACTTGACCCAACTATGCCACGCCCCCACTGTGCTGGGTTTTTTTCTTGTTTATTTTTGAGGTGGAAATAAAATTCAAAGTTTGATTGACTCTTATCTAGAGATGTGAGTCGGTATTATACATATGTATTATACGGTATGATACAAGGTATGATACACGCGTATAAAATTATTTTATACCGGCTGTATCAAAAAAAAAAAAAAATGCTTTATCAACATTTATATTCTTTTGGATTTGATTTTAATTGATATACGCAATTGTAATTAATGATATAGATGGATTGCATTATTAGATTAAAATATATCTATAATCGTGAATATTATTGTAGATTAATAGATATATTTTTAAAACATAATTAGTTGTCAGATCCGCCAGGGAAACATGGTTATCATAACAAACAAAAGCAATTGACTTGTGTACGGTATAACCGTGATCTCAGCATGTTTTTAGTATTATCACACAATAATCTTGTCACATTTTAAGCGCCAACGCAAGTCGGTTCAAATGGAAGAAAATATAAGCACAGAACAGGTGAATCTATTCTGTGGTAAAAGTATTTTGTTTTGTGATTTAAATTGTTTAAGTTTAAAGTATTATTTGCAAATTACGAACTAAGATGGGTCGTCCATCAAAGCAAAAACGAGAATAAAACAGATTAACTATTTGATAATGTCATGACATATACAAATTAAGATTATAAAATATTTCATACTTTATAAAAATTAATTCTTAGTACTCTATGATATTAAAATTTATAATCGATAAGGTGCTTAAGTTATTATTTTTAAGGTAACAAATGTTAATACAATTATCAATTTTAAAATTAATAGTAAGATGTTATATTTTAATTTTTTAAAAGTTTATTTAAAGGATAGGATTTTTTTTTGTTAAGAAAAAGTGAGTTTTATTATTTTATTTATTATGTTATTAAAAATTTTAAATTTTTAATGTGGTAAAATTCCAATTGTGTATTTATACTTGTTTAAAAAAGCAGATTTCTCAGACCTTTAACATCATGGGTGGTTTCTGGTTGCAAATTGACTATAGTTGGTACTTAGTTGATACTAAATCATCCTCTAGACAGGAATTCTGGATAGAGAAATATCTTAGTTCAATACTTTAACTAATTACTCTNTAGACAGGAATTCTGGATAGAGAAATATCTTAGTTTAATACTTTAACTAATTACTCTCTGAACATTTTGTTTTCATCAATTTTGCTGAAGGCTTTTTCAATAAGTACTCATTTATTTATTGCGTTTTATGAAAAAAAATCACTCTAAAGTTTATTTTTCCCCAAATTATAAGGTGCCACAAGGATTTATACGGTATTATACGATATTATACAACAAAAAAATAAAATACCGTATTTTAACAACTCTACTCTTATCTCATTAAAATTGTATAACATCAATGAATATCAAGGACACCACCATTGTAGTCTCCCTTTGTGAAAATGAATTTTATTCATATTAAAATATTTTACTATATGGTGTTTTTTTTGTGTCTGTCATTCATTTATCTCAATTCTCACTTTTTTAATTATACGTCAAATAATCACTACTAGTGTTTAGTTAAAAATATTACCCTCCTTGATTTTGGAATAATTCAACAATTTCTTAAAATTAAACACTACAGATTTTCATTGTAGCGTTTCTTATGATAGTGATTTTAATCACTGTTGATATCATCTATACTTGTGTTAAATTTTTTAGTTTAACTTGTAAATTTAAAAGTGATATCATTAAATACAAAATTTTATTAAGATTTCAAAAATGGTTTTGTTTAGCATATACGTCAGTAGTTTTAATAGAGTATAACTGCGGTCCCAAGAATTATTTGAAAGTTCTCGTCAGTAGCAGGTGGTCCGTGTTTTAGGCCATCTCTTGGCGTTTTCATAGTTTCGCGATTTTTGACATTTTATGGAATATTCGTCTACACGAAAAAGGAGAGAACTACTTTCATTCGACCGTGTTCCCACTAAATCGGCGTTATCACTGCATTCGTTTTGTTTGCTGTGTGATTCTGTTTGTGATTAAACTACTTAATTAATTTCTTAATTAAAATAAATTTGTATTGTTAATAAAAGTATGTACTTAAAAATTATTAAAGAGTTTTATTATTACTCATATTTGATAGTGATTAAAATCACTATAAAAAAAAATGCTTCAATGTAATTCTTTAGATAGTGCTTAATTTTAAAAAATTGATGGATTATTCTAAAAGCTACATGAGCTGCTATTTCCTTATTAATATCCTGATTAAGATAAAGCATGTCGAATGAAAAAGGGGTATAAATATTATTTCTCATAAAAAAATTGTGTTGATCCACACACTTTTCAATAAGTTATAGCATTATAAAGTAAAAAATGTAAGATATAAAATCGAGAATTTTCACACAAAAATAGCATTCAGTAGCCATTCTCACCGTGAAGACAAAATAAAGTCCGAATTTTTTTTTTTCATAACATTTCATAAGCTTTAATTTAAGATATGTATAAAAGTGTCAGACTTTCTGGAACACTTTCAAAATTAAATTTTTTGTGAAAAAGTTGTCATTTTAAATCTCTCCTTGTGGGCAGGTAAATGGTCAGATTTATAAGAAAAATATACCAAATGATAGGTAAAAATATCAAGCATCTATATAAAAAGAAATTATAGATTTGGTTATTTTTAAAAAAGTTATGGCAGTTTTAAGTAAAAAAAATTGAAAAAATTAGCGATTTTAAAATTTGTAATTTTTTATGGTGGTTTCCCCCATTTACGGGAAACGCGGGAATTTTTTTCAATATTTGAGGATAATGTCTTCAACTAGTACGATTTGTGATATTTTGACGTATCGTTGAAAGAAATCAGTTTGGTGAGAGCTGAGAAAAAGTGGTAACAGAGTCTGTTAAACAGACATAAAAAAAAAAAAACACATCATAGTAAAACCAATACCTACTCAGCTTCGCATCGAAGCTAAAATTAAGAATTGATTCATTTTGGTCGATTTTTAAATATTTTGCATTTTGATTTAAATTTATTCACTTTTGAAAATCGCCAATCACTATTAATAATTACCTTACACCTTATACAATATAAAGTTTATGAAGTCAATGTGTGAGTTGATAACAGAAATGGTGATCTTATCTATTTCTTTCTAATGACTTTCATGGATGAAAAGATGAAAAGAAGTTACTATGTTTTGTATATTTATTAAATGATTTACATTATGTAAAGTTAGAATATGGCATACGATAAAATTCATCTTAGTAAATGATAATATCGCTGTGTAGAGTATCACTAGAGTTGATTGTAATTTGTTTATCATAATAAACAATATATTATTGAAATTCAATTTTTTTATTAACCTGAACATATATTTGGTTCTTATTTATGTTTTTTTATAATTTGTAAATATAATAAATTATTTTTTTATTAAATTTATATCATTGACAATTTTAAAAGTTTTTTTCAATTATTCAATAAAGTGACGTAGTTTTCTATCAAACATTGTATAATTATGTTAAGTAAAACGTAATTTCATTGTTATAGTTTAATTTATTACAATAATTTTTGAATGTCATATTAAAGTGGAGTGCATTTTTTAGATAACTACAATGGATACTGAGTCTCTTCGATCTCTACATAGTGAGCATAGCTTTAAGTCTAAATACAAAACTCACTCTCTGAAATCTAGTAGTCACCACCGATCAAACAATTACAAGTATACAACTTTTAATATTAATCTTGTATACTTATGTACTTATTTTTTAAAATAATTTGTAGAACTTCATCTAAAATAAGCCGTAAGTATTCAGACAACTTAATAAATACTTACGACACTACTATGGCACCCTATCAAACTACTGTCATGTTAGATGATACTCGTGATGGACAAGATGTTGTTGAAGTTCAAATTTTACCTCAAGTAATAATTTTTTTTTAATTGTATTTTAACTAGAAATTAATTTTTTTTAAATTAACTTTGAGAAATAACATACTCTTTATAAATTTGTTTAATATTTTTGTCTTTTTTAGGATGAAAATTGGGGTGAAAACACTACAGCAATTACAGGAAACACTTCAGTACAATCTGGATCAATGGAAGAAATGGGAGCATTGTGGCAAGATATAGAACAAAAAAGTGGTTTTCCTATTCTTTGCCACCGTTACATAGCTACAGCTCTCACTGGTTCATTATCAATTATTGCATTTATTAGTCCCCTAGCCATGCTAGTTTTACCAAAATTAGGTAATTTGTTGGCAGTTAATTGAAATAATATCAATATACATAATGAATAAGGCAGTAACTCACTTTTTCATACTTTTCAAGAGATCAATAATAAAATTTATCTCTAATTACACTCTATATGTTTATCAATTTTTTTAAGTAGTTTAATTCCGATTCATACTAATGTTCGATATTTTGATAAAGTTAATATGAAAAAATTAAAATCTAAATTCAAATACCTCATAATCCAAAAATCAAATTTTTGAGTTACTGCCTTTTTGTTGTATATAGTGATATATTTTATTTATTTAATATCTAGTTTAATTTTAAATTAAATATAGAAGTTTTAAATATTTAACACAGGATATTAACTAAATGTTTTGTTATATTTAGGATTTTTTAGTCCGGAAGTTACAAATTTAAGTTTACAGCAAAGAGAAACACTTTTGAATTGTGGTACTGAGTGCAAAGGAGTGCTAGTATCATTGACATTTAAAATGTTTTTGCTGGCTCTAGCAGCTTGGGCAATATTTTTACGGCCATTAAGAGCAACCATGCCTAGAATTTATGTATTTAGAGCAATGGTTTTGGCACTTGTATCAATTTGTTGTACTTCATTTTGGCTTTTTTATGTAGTACAAGTTACAGAAGGTAAAGAGATATGATTAATTTTTTTTTAAGATTTAATAGTTTTAAAAATGTGTTAATAGAATTAAAATTATTGTAAATCCTTAAAAATTGAGGTTTTAATTAGGTTAAGATGTCTGAATATTCTGTTAATATTGGTATTATTGTTTGCATAAATGAGTATTAATCTGTAAATAAATTATATTCCAGTCCATTAATAATTTTTGTAATATCAATGATAATTTATAATATTAATAATTTGAACTTGTCATTTATATTAAAAAAAAAAAAAATTATTATACTTAGCTCAAATAAATCATTAAAATGTTTTCCTCTTTAATAGTATAACATATATTAGAATACTTTTTCTTAATACTTATCAACAGGATAATAATGATTCTAACTAATAAATTGAATTTTCTAACAAAATTATACATAGTCTAGTCCTGTTCAGTAATGATATCTTAATATTAGACATAGCCTATATATTTTTATTTCATTTTTAGCTCTGACGAATTAAGAGCTTTAGTATACTGCTATCCTAGTTAAGGACGTATATGCCAAAAATTAAAAAAACGTTACAATAAATAGAATTTAATAGAGCATCTTTAGAGCTAATTTAGGAAATATTTTGTGTTCAGCTTAGAAACTAAGTTATTAAGAATTTGGTTTGTATGTATCTTATAAAAATAGACCTAATTCTTAAGAAAAAACTTGTAAAATGCTCATACTAGTAAAACGTAGTAACATCCCACAAATACAATCATTTTGTTTAGTAGCATACAATAAAGGTATTTTTTTGTTTTGTCACATTATGTTGTGTAAGTGGTTATGGCAAAATTATCATGTATTAATCATTTGATAAGAAATATTAATGACCCTCTAGATAGGTTTAAAAATAAATTGTATGCTATATCAATGTTTTTTTTATAAAATTGCCACATTTCAAAACTGTTAATTACTAAGCATTTTAGATGTATCTGCTTGTTACTGCTTCATTTTTAGATAATAAATGATTTAGATTAATGATATCACAAAGTTAAAAATATGTATATAAATTTTTAGTAAGAGTTGTCCTATAGACTTTGGTATTTTATTAGATTTTACATTGAAAATTGTTTAAATACTAGTTACTTAATCAGTTTTATAAAAAAACAAATGAATTCAGAAAAATTAATTTTTTTCAATTTCGTATATGTCTTTTTTAACTAGAATGACAGTATAGGTTTACATAATATATTTTTAATAATATTTCAATATAATAAAATTCTGAAATATTAAATTTTTTTTTTTATCTCTTATGCCTCATAAAATATCAACAATATTTGTTTAAATAAGAAAATGTTAGATGAAAAAACTATTAAATCAATATTTCAGAAATTATTAACACTTAGAAATTACAAAATGCTAAGGTTAAAATGTGGGTTATGATAATTTTCCTCAAGCATTTCTCAGTGTTCCTTTTTTCTAACCAGATAAGTTCCATAAATGCAAAAGAGACTTAGAAAAATATTTTAATTGCATTATCCTAAGACTAGCACTGATTACAAAAACAAAATAACTTAAAATAAAAAAGGTTCTTAATATGCATTTTTAAATAGTACAACAATGTTGTAATACAAAAAAATATACAAATGCTTCTAACATGCATTGTTCTTATTAATAATAAAGTTGTATATCAAAAATTAATATGCAACTAATAAAATTCCAAAAAAATATTTTCATTTTGTTTTACAAGTTATATAGTAGTTAGGATAAGTCAAGCATGTATGTGTTGTAGTTGTAACAAATTATAATTTTATAATGTAAACCAATATATTATTTAATTATGGAATAGGAGTTCGTGCAACCGCTACAGGAGAAGACCTACTTGAATATCGAGCATTGGTTTCATACGCTTCGTCTTTATGTGATTGTCTTTTATGTATTCATTATATTGCTGTAGTTTTAATGGAAATAAGGCATTTGCAACCAGCTTTTTATTTAAAGGTTTGAACAAAATTTTATTTTGTAATAACTGCTAGTACTAAATTATATGACTATTAGTGATAAAAATATAATTTAACAAAACAACAATTTTTTGCATTTTAATTATATTGATATTGTTTAATAATTAATATCATAATTAGGTATAATTTTTTTTATTAATTATATAGGATATTAAAATAGACTTTTTTTTATATAACACTTAATGAAAATCATTGGAATGATTTGTTTTACATGACCTTATTCCCGTCTCTGTAAAATATGACTTACAAATTGTTCATAAAAAAAAAATTAATATATATATATGACATAATATTTTAAATTATTAAAATTTTCAAGTTAGAATTCAACTGATCTTTGAAAAAAAAATTATAAATAATAACATACTAATAATTAAATAATAGCATGTAAAAATTGCAATTTAGATTGAAAGTAGTAAAACCTTATTTAACAATAATAAAAATAATAATATTTAGATACTTAGGCTTTAAAAATAATATTCATTTTAGTAAAATAAAAGTAATAATAACTATTAAAATATTTAAAATTCATGGACTTTTTAAATTGAAAAATATTTCAGAGTTCTGAGCAATTGCAGATTATACAGTTGGGCCAAACGAACACTAATAATACCACCTTATAGTAACATATTAGTATAAAAATCATAAAATAAAAAAAAATGTTTATAATCAATTTGATATTGCAATATACCAAGTTATAAAAAACAATATTAGAATTAAAAATTTGTTACATTATCAATTTTTATTGATTTTGTGTTATATTTTATTATTTTATTTTATTTTCTTATGTTATACATTTTTATAGTAAGTGAAATATTTTTTAATAGGTTGTTAGAAGTCCCGATGGAGAGTGTCATACTTATTCTATTGGTCAATTAAGCATTCAGCGAGCAGCTGTTTGGGTTTTAGAACAATATTACACAGATTTCTCAATATACAATCCATATTTAGAACGTTTACCAGTTTCAAAATCTAAAAAGAATGCTTCGAGCTTTAAATTTTATGATATTGAAGGAATTGCTAATAATACTCTTCAAATGAGTCATACTAAAGGTTCTATAAATGGACATATAAGACGTCGTGATTCAAGTCACAATGAAAGATTTTATGAAGAACATGATTATGAAAGAAGAGTTAAGAAACGTAGAGCAAGATTACTGACTGCAGCTGAAGAAGCCTTTACTCATGTAAAACGCTCTCATCAAGATCCTGGTAAGTATGGACCTAAAAAAATAGCATAATTTAAATAGGGTAAAAATAATTATTTTACATAGTATACAGATACATTGCAATTAACGTTCAGGAGTGGAGGGGGAAAATATTTGTGCCAATGTGCTAGTAAAATTCGGGGCACATCTTTATGTTTAACAGGAGGAAATTACTTTTTTTTACTACTCATAATAAAATATTGTTTTAAAAAAATGAAGCATTTTGGCAAAAATAGAGGGTCCCAATTTATTATCCCCTTAAGTTTTTTTTTTTAGTTATATGTAAGCTTCCATAGTCAATGAACTTTATTTATTTTTACCACATTTTACTCCATATGTGTTTATGGATTTATTATAAATATATTTGTAAGAGGTTTTGTTATACAATGTAAACAAAATAGGTTTTCCTTTTTAAATAAATTAAATATAAAAATAATGAAAAATAAATAAGATTTTTAAATCTCAGCTGTGGCATTTTCTTAGTTCTCTACCAGATATTTAGTTGTCAACACAATAATCACCAGTCTGTCTTAATTAATTACCTTGGATATTAATTAGAAGAAACTTTATGTTTTTAGGTGGTGGTTCTGCAATGGATCCTTATGAAGCAGCTCAAGCTGTTTTTCCAACTATTGCTCGATCACTTCAAAAATATTTAAGAGTTACGAGACAACAGCCAAGACACACTGTAGAATCTATTTTGTCACACTTAGCTTTATGTTTAACTCATGATGCTTCCCCTAAAGCATTTTTAGAACCTTACTTAAGTGCAGCTCCAGTATTACAGGTATATTTAAACTATTAAGATTTTACTTGACGTTTTATATAATAATTTTTATTTTTAATATATTTCTAGAATGAAAAAGAACAGAAAACAGTTCAGTCATGGTCACTTATTTGTAGTGAATTATTAACTAGGTCACTTAAAAATGGTACAGTATTCCAACTGAGGCAAAATGATTTATCTCTTTTGTGTTCAGTGCATACATTGCCACATTTCAGTATTACAGAAGAAGTCATTAACCCAAAATCAAATAGGTTTGTGTTGAGGTTAAATTCTGAAACATCTGTATGATTTTTATCTTTTATACTTTTTAAAATATATTTAATAAATTAGTTGTAAAATATTCATAAAGATTATAATATGATAAAACCATCTAGTCTTGGATCAGTATTTTTTTTTTTTGAATATGCCAAAAATTTGAATATATATATAAGAAATAAAAAGACACTATTATTTTTCATTTAATTATTTATAGCATGCTTTAAAATTATAAAAATTAGTTTAAGTATGAATAATGAAGATATGTTTTTTTTGTTTGAAAGTCTTATTGATAAGAAAAAAAAATTACAAATATTTCTTTTACAAATTGTCAAAAATATAGGTGTCAATATGTCATTGTATTTGAAATAATAATAATTTTTTCCCAACTCTTATTTACTCATAGACTATAAATAATTAAATAATTAAATTATTTTTATAATTTTAATAGTGTCTAAGTTTATAGTATATTAAACATATTTTACATTTATATTTCTTTATAAATAATTTTTTTATTTTATTATTTTATGATATAAAATTTTTTTTATATAACAATAGTTTTGTATTTTTCTTTAAATTTATACTGAGTATTAAATTTAAATTTAGATATAAGTTTTATTAATCTTTACATTATTGATATATTAGAAATAATTTTGTGTAATAATAACTGTGCTTGGTAAAAACATTGAATAGTAAAAAAGTTCATAAAAAATCTTATTTAAAATGTTTGATAATTATAGCTTACTTTTAATAATAATACATAATTTTAAAATATATTTTTGTACTGTCACTTTAAACTTATTTCATACTTAACAGTGACATTTTATTTAAAAATTAATCATATAGAGTTACATTTTACTATTTGTTAATTTTAGAAAAATTAAAACTTATTTAAGGTGTGTGTTAAATACTTAATTGTGTAAAAATCTGAAAACCTTACATTACTGTTTTTAGGTTATCATATCATTAAATTATTCACAAATTTATTTATTTTTATTTAATTAATGTTAATTTTAATATTACTAATGTTTAAAAATATTAGTTCTAAATATATTTAAAACTTAATTAAATGAATAAAGCAGTATTATTTTCATTAGATATTTATGTAAAGTTTTTTTTATATTACACTAAAATAAATTATGTAACTATTTATTAAGACTGTTCTCATTTAATTAGCATTTATAATATAAGATAAGTTAGTTTTATTATGCTCAAATTTATGGGGCCATTAATATAAAGTGTTACTTAAAAATTGTTTTATTTTTTTTTTTTTGCTTTTAAAAGTGCCTTATTGAATAAACAATATTTATTGTCAGTATTACTTGCACATTCAAATTTTTTTATTTTTAATTTTCATAGAAATTTAAAACTTGAATGGTTTATCAAAATTATAATTTTTTTTTTGTCTTTTATCAAATTATCATTGTCTATTATAATTTATTTTTAAGTTTCTTTTTTTTCATACTGGAAAATTTAAGTGGTAATGTTTTCTTTTTCGAATCAATGCATAATATACTAAATTTATCTAAGAAAGTGTTTATTTTAAGCCAATTTTTTAAAATAGAAATGATTTTATAAAATCACATTTTGTGCAATTTTTTTTTATTTTTATATTTTTGTAGTAATTTATTATAGAAGTTATATTTTAGAAAAAAATATTATCTAGTTTATTATTTATGATAAAAATGCCCAAATGTCTATGTTTGAAAATTAATTTTCAATTTATATTTTTTGTTAAGGTAATAAAAACATTTTTTTTTTAATTTGCCTTTTCATTTAAAAAATTTTTGTAAATTGATCAATATTCCTGTGCGATATCCTTATTTTCTTTTTATTATCTCTTTTATTCATGTAATGATTCTTTTTATTTAAGGCTACTCCCAGTAGTACACTCAAATGTAAAATTTTTCATATGTTCTCAGTAATATAGGAGAAATTTTTAATTTTCCNTAAAAATTTTTGTAAATTGATCAATATTCCTGTGCGATTTCCTTATTTTCTTTTTATTATCTCTTTTATTCATGTAATGATTCTTTTTATTTAAGGCTACTCCCAGTAGTACACTTAAATGTAAAATTTTTCATATGTTCTCAGTAATATAGGAGAAATTTTTAATTTTCCTAGGAGAGGCTTTAAATATTCACATCAGACGATCGATTTTATTTATATTTTTATATATTGGTTTAATGTCCATATGCCATACCATAGTATCAATGAATAAAAATCCTCTTATTTGGGAAAGGATGGTATGGTTAAAGCATAAAAAAAATTTACTTGATTTAAATTTGATTTAAAAATTTACTATAATTTGTTAATTAGTAATCAAATAAGTATGCTGCAAATAAATATTGAACAAAATATTGAGATTTTTATATAAATTTATTGTCAATAGTAATTATATTAGTTTCTGACCACATCAATCTAATCAACTACAGTTTTGATTTACTTATAAAAATTCCTATTTAAAGATATTAATTTTACACTTATATTGAGCCAAAAATTAATTATGGTAAAAATGTTCTTATAAATGTTCGTGAATATCAACTTTACATGTAATTGCAAATTTGAAATTAACGTAACAAAATGACTGAAATAATTATATTTTTATCTCTAATATTTAAAAAAGTTTTATTTTATTGACTTGTATATTTATCATTATCTAATTAATGAATTATTTTATAACTTTTTGTTTTTGAACTATTAATTTTTCACGTTAAAATAACAAGAAACTTGAAAGTTGTCATTCCTAGTTAGTGATAGTAGTCAAAGGCGAACTTTGACTAACGTATTCGTGTTTGTAAAATTGATTTCAAACCCTTTTTTATTACTCTCATTTCTTTTTATGGAGCGCTACAAATATTTTTTGGAGCTAGCCACAATTATTGTTTACCCCGGGCCGTTGGACTATTAGTCCACTCCGAATGGTAGTCTACTTTTCATTGAACTCAAGAATTGTATTTATTATTAAAAAGCAATACGATGTAGGCTTTTCATTTAACATGTGCAGCTGCACGTCATTTATTGTTTAAAATACATAGTGTTTTCAACTATAATAATGCTAGGAATTTAATTTAACATATGCTTAACAATTGATATTTTATTTGAAAAAAGTGGTATACTACATTTAAAGGTATGAAGTTTTATCTAGAAATCAAACTAAGTTTACTTAGTTTACAAGCAAAATAGAAATGTTCAATAAAACATGTCATTATGGTAGTTATTAAAAAGCCATGTTAACTTTAATTCGATGTTATAGGAATTATAACATGTATGTGATATCAAAAGTTAAATCAATGAAAAGATAAAAAAGGAAACATTTAACATAATAATGCCTTCAGTGATGGTATTCGAGAGGTTTATGAAAGTAAGTTTAGTTACGTGTCATGTAATTGAAGGCGTAATAACAAACAACTCTAGAATTGATAAAAAATGTACAATAATAATAATTTACAAATATTATTTTTAAAGTTTCCGTATTAATGATCAAACATAAATTATAAATTACATTTATGTTACAAAATCTGAAACTTTTATAATATTAAGTTAATGTAAAAGAAACATTTTTTAATAAAATTAATTATTAACGAAAAATTGAAAATCTTTTACTATTTTTTATGCAATTTTTTATTTTTACATAAAACAAATCTCATGTACAGTTGAGATGAATTATTTATGAATGAAAATATTAATTTGGATGATATTGCTACATAAAGTGCCGTATTATCTAATAAGCACTGGACTAATTTTCAAACATATTTTTACTAAAAACATTGTGATTAGAATATTTTTAGTAAAAATTTATGTCATAGCCTTAATTCTGCGTAGATCAAAAAGGAAATAGTTTATAAACATTTTTTTAAAATTAGTGCTTAAAGCCTACAAATAGCTTAATCTGGCCGTGGTTGAATGATAATATATGCACACGTATAATTAAAACATCTTATATGCTATCCAATGTGATAGTCGAATTAAAGTGTCAATTGAGGAATTGTGGCCAAAATAAAAAATTTTGACCACACTTGACTTTTGAGTCCACATAGTTCTATATCTGTAACTAAATATTACAAATTTAGAGCTAATAGAAAAAAATATTTTAGAGGTTCCAATAGTTTACTTAACAAAAACCATGGCACGTTTCATTTGTAGGCTTCTGTGTTGTTATGAATACACGCAACGTGGGTATTTTAGCATTTGGGTATCGTAAAATATTATTCCGCCGGATATATGGATGTGTTTCGATTATACCTAATTTTGTCCGACAGTAAAAGGAGAGTAAAAAAATATGGTTATCGAAAAATTAAATGATATAATATACAGTTGATACAATAAAAATATGTAGTGTTTTGTTATAACGGGTACCTCAAAAATGAATCAGGTGGTCAAAGATATTATGTATACACACAATAAATTTTTGTATCCAAAACATAATGTTATCCCAAGGCCCTATTGTAAGTGTCCACATAATCATTATTGTTCTGTGTGTGCAGAGCGAACGACATATTTCAAAAAAAAAATGTGTATAAACGAGAGGTCCACACAAAAAAAATAAGAATGAATAGAAAAGAAAATATCACCACCGCAGTTACTTATACACAGAAGCCGCGTCTCGTCTTGGTGGGGTTGTGGCGGTAGTGGCGTCGCGACTAAACAAGTGGTTGCACCCCGCTCGCAGCGCACCCTGTTGGCAAAACTCAGTACCACGGGACCGGCGGTCGACGGACGGCACATCGCGTTTGCAGTCTGTGTACAACAGTGTTAGTTTCTCGCCGACGACCGTATCGAACGGACTGCTCACGTCGTTCATCGAAGTGACGGTAGTGTTCGGTCGCGTGTATAAATCGAACGGAATAATTGAAATTGTACAATAACCCAACGGAAACAATTTTCGCGTGTGATGTGTGTTCGGTGATGTTTATAAAGTGATTTTTTTTTGTTATGCGTGAAAGTGTATTAAAAATGGCATGTTTTCCGACTGCGTTATTTTTTGTAGCTGCGGTCGCGATGTGGTTGTGCGCGCGTACTGCGGAAGCCAACAACGGCGACCCGGTGTGCGACTGGCAGCGATTAACAACTACCGACGAAGCTCAACCGTTGCGTGTGGTGCTCAAATGTTCGTTGAGAACCATCAATAATGCGGACGCAGTTATATCAAATCTGACGTCTGCTCAAATGGATATGATCACCAGTTTGACGCTTAAATGTAGTGACGTTATATTTTTTGAGAGCAGCCTCGAAAATAGTTTCTTAACCCAGCTCCGTAGACTGACTCACTTGGACTTGGAGTACTGTAAAATTAAATACGTGCCGCCTGTCGTGCTCAGTACATCTCGGGAACTGAAACAGTTACGCATCCGTACGCACAACGCTGACTGGTCTGCTATGAACATGGATTTCCATTCGGACAGTTTACGAGGTCTTACCCAGCTCAGGGAACTCGATTTGTCCGACAACAATATTTGGAATTTACCTAAAGAACTGTTTTGTCCGTTAGTTGGCTTGAAGTATTTGAATCTTACCAAAAACAGACTACAGGACGTGTTTGAGCTCGGTTTTTCTGATTGGGGTAACGGGCCTACTGCTCCCGGAAAAACTTGTAATACCGCCTTGGAAGACCTTAATCTGGCCAACAACGATATTATATCAATGCCAGACAACGGGTTGACCAGTTTGAGAGCGTTGAAAAAATTATTCCTCCAAGAAAATCAGATTAATCAAATTGCCGATCGCGCTTTCGTCGGTCTGTCATCGTTAAACGTACTGAATGTATCCAGCAATCGTCTGTCCGCTTTGCCTCCTGAATTGTTCCACTCCACGAGGTATTTACGCGAAGTGTACCTACACAATAACTCAATTAACGTGTTGGCTCCAGGACTCCTAGAAGGCTTGGATCAGCTGCTCGTGTTGGACATGTCTCATAATGAGCTGACCAGCACTTGGGTGAACAAGGATACATTTTCCGGACTAGTCCGTCTCGTAGTGCTCAATCTTGGTCATAACCAGCTAACGAAAATCGATTCTCATATTTTCCAAGACCTGTACAGTTTGCAGATTCTCAATTTGGAACACAATAATATAGAAACGCTAGCAGATCGGGCGTTTGTAACACTTAGTAATCTACACGCGCTCACCTTATCGTTTAATAAACTCAAGCGCATCGAACCTATGCACTTTTCCGGTCTTTACGTTATCAATCAACTGTTTTTGGACAGGAACCGCATAGAAGTCATCGACGAGTCAGCATTTCAAAATTGTACCAATCTTCACGATCTCGGATTGTATGGTAATGCTTTAAGGCAAGTACCCGTTGCCTTATCCAAACTGCACATGTTGAAAACGCTAGACTTGGGAGGAAACGCTATCAAACACGTTCATAACACGTCTTTCGACGGTCTCGACTTGTTATACAATTTAATATTGTCCAACAACGAAATATCCAACTTGACTGCGTATACCTTCTCATCAATGCCTCTATTACAAGTACTCAACTTGGCTTTTAATCGGCTCGTCCACGTCGACCAACACGCGTTCGGCACGTCAAGTACATTGCACGCTATCCGACTAGACGGCAATGCCCTGACCGATATCAACGGCATGTTCGACGGTTTGTCTCGGCTCGTATGGCTAAACGTATCTGATAACCGCATAGGTAAATTCGATTACTCTTACCTACCGTCCAGCGTCGAATGGTTGGATATGCACAAAAATCAAATCAGAGATTTAGGAAATTACTATGTTCAACGTGACGCCATCCAAATAAAAATGTTGGACGCCAGTTTTAATCATTTGACCGAAATTACGGACACTTCTGTACCAGACAGCGTTGAAAGCGTATTTCTAAACAACAATTTGATTCACAAAATAAAAATAAATACATTTTTACGCAAGGCGAATTTGTCCAGGGTGGTGTTGTACGCCAACAAAATGGAGTACATTGACATAGCGAGTTTACGATTGGACCCAGTGCCCGAATATAAAGAGTTGCCTCAATTTTACATCGGTGACAATCCACTGAAATGCGATTGTACTACTGAATGGTTACAGCGAATCAATCAGCTCAGCGTACAGCGTCAACATCCCCGTATTATGGATATGGACTCGATTATGTGTCGGTTGGTACATTCAAAAACTGAAAAATACAAACCCCTGTTGGATTTAAAACCGTCACAGTTTCTATGCGAATATACGTCACATTGTTTTTCCGTTTGCGAGTGCTGCGATTTTGACGCGTGTGACTGTGAAATGACTTGTCCCGACAACTGTACGTGTTACCATGATCACGTGTGGTCATCTAACATAGTGGATTGTTCGAACGCTGGTTACAAGTCGATTCCGGCTCGTATACCGATGGACGCCACAGAAATATACTTGGACGGCAACGACTTGGGAGAATTGCCCGGGCACATATTTTTGGGCAAAAAGAAACTACAGGTACTGTTCATGAACAATAGCAACATAGTCCTGCTAAATAACAAGACGTTCAATGGCGTACCCGATCTAAGGGTATTGCATATGGAAGATAACCGACTAGACAAGCTCGACGGCGGTGAATTTGAAACCCTGTCAAAATTGAGCGAACTCTATTTGAACGACAATCGAATTACCAGCGTGGCCAACAAGTCATTTGCACCCCTAAAATCTTTACAAGTATTGCACCTAGAAAATAATCAAATCAACGAATTTCGGCCATGGCAGCAGCTCAGTGGTGCAAATTCACTGACTACAGTGTCGTTGGCTGGCAATACTTGGTTGTGCGACTGTGATGTTATTGTCGGTTTGGATGGATGGCTTAAAAACAATGACTATCCATCTTCGACGATGATGTGCTCGGACAAAACGACAACTGTTGTTAGCGCCATTCAAAAGTGTCTCGCCGAACGCGACTCGGGCCCGAGTATCCATCGGCCGTTCTACAACACATCTGTGTTGGGCACCGACTATGTCCCGTTCGTGGCCGCCAGTCTGGCGTTATTCATCGTAGTGTTCGTGTTGATCGCTCTCGCTCTCGTGTTTCGCGATGATCTGTGTTTGTGGGCACACTCTCGGTACGGAATGCGTGTGTGCAAATCACCGCCGGGCGAGACAGACAAACTGTACGATGCGTATATGGTGTACAGTATTAAAGACGAGGAGTTTGTGAATCACATATTGTCTAGTAGTCTCGAACGTTTCGGATACAGTATGTGTTTGCACTACAGAGACATCCACGTCATCAGCCCGGTTTATCTGATGGACAGCTTTTTAGGTGCGTCCGACGCGTCCAAGAGAATTATCGTCGTGCTGTCGTTGTCGTTCTTGCAAAACGAATGGGAAAAGCCCGTGTTTAGAACGGCGTTCCAGGCGTGTGTAGAACGAGCGAAAACGAAAAAACAACCGGTGGTCGTGCTGTTGACCACTACGATCACGCCTGATCGAGAGCTTCAAGCGCTGCTCAAAGCGTGTGACGTGGTCACGTGGGGCGAAAAACGGTTTTGGGACCGACTCAGGTACCTGATGCCGGATCCCAAACCCCTAGGCGGCACCAGTGACCTCAAGAAAGTGATATGCGACGGCCGACCGGTGGCCAGGTACACGGCGGCGCCGACGTCTTTAGAAGCGTGGATTCGCATGAGTCCCGCGTCCATAACGCAATCCCAAGCTCCCACGCAGAGCTCGTGCGTGTCCGAAGAATCGTCCCAAAGGACGACAGACGAAGACGAGGACCCGTCCAACCACAGTTACGTGTCCATCGATTACCAACAAAGGCACAAGCTACACCACGTGTATAGTAGTATACCGGACCCGATTTACAATCAGGCCGGTGGAAGGACTTACTTCGTTTAGTCGGTGAGTACTTATTTATTTTTTAACAGTTTTATTTTAAGTTTGTAAAAAAATGTTCAATAACTGCGAACGCACCACAATGTCTAAATTACGTATCCAGTCTTCTTATGTCGAGATAACTACTGTAATCTATCACTTTCACTTTAGTACAAAACTTGCAGTAATCACTGTCGTCGATATTTTTCCGCTTAGAAATTATCTCAAGTCCTTTTATAAATTTTTTTAATTTTATTAAGTTATGACGACCCCAATAAGTTTGGTAGACGAAATACGTTAAAATTCCTTGCCTTGTAATCGAGACGGTGCACAACATGGTGCAGCGACGGGTTAATAATAACAATAATTCGGCACACATCGCTGTTTAATTATTGAGTTTTCGATCATTTGTCGTTGGTAGTCTACCATCTGTACTCTATATTGCTCACTAATTGTTCTTTAACCGTAACGCGTACGTGCATAATATAAATTGTTAATTAAACGCATCCCCCTTTTCTCGGTAATCTCGACACGACCATCGAGGGTCACGGATTCGTTTTTCGCGTAAACGTTATAATCCGGTCGGTCTGATAACTTAATAATTATAATATACTCTAACACGTATAATGTTTTTATCGCTCACAAAACGCCATTTATTTCTGAGGTCAATCAAACTATTTAGGGTGACTGACCCATGTAGGGGTGGAAACCTAGAAGCTTAGGAAAAACGTTTAATCTCAAAACGGATATATTTTTATCGAATAAAATAAACCAACATTTGAACGGAGCAGTCTGATGATCGGCGGCATAGTTGGGAAATTATTGGTTTTACACGAAACCGGTTCCTATTCGTGTATGCTTTATAATATACTTTTTTTTTATCTCACTCGGCCACTATTTTTTCTCCTTCACTATTTCTTCCATAACGATACAACGCACGCCCAACGCGCGTTAATTGTCGCCGTCCTGTTTACATACACATAGACTAACGCCAAATAAACTGTTCAATCGAATACTATGAATTTCACGAATAAAAGTCTCCGGTACGAGTCAATTTTTCTCTGTGCCGACATTCCTGCCTTTGCGCATCCATGTGTACACCACATGACACATCGCCTCAGGAAGAAATGGGTACTCGAAAAAAAACGAACAAAAAAAAAACGAACGGAACGTCGGGCCACCGTATACTGAAAATGAATGATGGCGTTCGGGTCTCCGTACAGTTATTGTTATTGCTAGCCGTTTTACGCGTCTCATTTGAGTCGCTCTGGCTAATTTTTCCAACACTCAGGTACACGGCGCACGCGGACAAGCGAGAAAACATTACATACGCAACACTCGCAGAGGTCCCCCGCCGAGATCTTCTCGGGCTCATCATAATAATAATGAAATGGGCAATAACGGTCACACGTTTTTCGGTAGTCTCGCGGACCGGCAATAACAAATGGTATGCTCATTATTTTCGTTTGTGTTTAAAAAATATACACATTGGACAATTATCATAACTCGAGTGCGCCCCCGTACCTACCGTTTTTACCAACGCACAGAGATACGCGCTAAGCGTAAAAATGATGTATTTAATTCGTATTTAATATTCCCCGGCCGCCATACACGTCTGTATGGTTATAAAGATATTAGAATATTTTCGTAGTTTGACGAGATGCCGGACAGTCCTGTTGGGTACGTTCCACGTTATTGTAATTTATGACTGTTATTAACATAATAGTACCTACATACACGTATGCTCGCGTCGTCCGTTTAATGTGACACGGCCCGATGTAGAATAAATAACGTACGGGACTGGTGTAACGTTAAGTTAATTAAATTCGTCGGAATCCAATAGGAAGTTTATAAATTCGGTTCGACGCGTAACGTGAATTCGGATCGCGTTGAAAATAATAATAACGACAATATTGAATTTTTTGGCCGCGAATAAAATAATCCAGCGTGTGTTTGGTGCCTTTCACCCGCCGGTTTTCAGCTGTTTGTTTTTTCGCCGTCGGATAATGTAATAAAACCTCTCGTGTCGGTCTCGTTAGCGTTGGGCTGTACACACCGTCGTGATAATGTAACGTATTAGGTGAATATACGAGATGCGCCGCGTTTTACACACGACCGTCCGCCCTGGGCCGTTTTGGTCGTTGCATCGGTATGCCGGCCGACGGAGTGGTTGTTGGTACGGCCGGGGGCCGGATCGGTTTCCAATTATGATTCGTATGCACGTCGAAAATTACTGTTATTACGACGAAACGGACGATTAGTAACGGACTACCTATTCACAACAAGGGCATTTCGTTCTCGACGACGTCTCGTGTTGGCGCGTCGTATGCCAAAAGAATGCGCAAAACCGCATTATAACGATAAATGTGCCGTATTCAATTATCATAACGTCCGGGCACCGATCGTATTGTTTCGGCCGTGTAAACAGACCGCGTGTCGACGAATGCCGTGTGACAAACCGTCGCCGGCATTTGCAGACCCGCTGACGGAATGCGACCCAAACGATGTCGGGCGGGGGTGGTGATTTTCGGTGCTACTGCGTGCAGTTTCTTTATATGTCGTGTTCGCGGCACAGCTCGGAATTTACTAGATGCACACACACACACACTCGCGCGCATTTCATCGTATATACCGAACGGTGCAGACGTTAGTTACCGCCGCCGCCGCCGCCTTCGGGTGTACAACCCGAGTGGGTTTGTCAGTACTGAAATAAAGAAAAAACACACCGGATTTCCACGATACCTCCTCGACCGTGTAATTTTTATTGACTCGTTTCCGTCTCTCTCTCTCTCGCGCGCGCCCGCTCGAGTACACGCACACACGGACACTCCCAAGGGCTTCTTCGCGTAATTCGTTGCACCGGAGCACGAACGTGCACGGAAAAACGTCGATATTGCGGCGAACCGGTAAACCGGTCTTGTGACGACACCGTTTTGACACAAATGTTGTGACGAAGACATCTCATGTTGTACAAAAATTAGCGCTTTACTCACGCCGTCCCGAGTAATTGTATGGCCCCGAAAACCCCAGGAAGTTTTTTTGTTGCGTTCGACAAAACTGTCGTCGTGGCGGCGGTGTCGTTTTATCGGGCGCAGCGCGAAATTTAGACATTTCTCAAGTCGGCCGATACGTTTGCGGCACACCGTCGATCGAATTTCGCGCAGAGCATTGTTCACGTGGTAGTATTGCTTGTACAGTCATCGTTTCGATTGCCATTCACGTACATGCGCACACGATTACTCGGTGCTTGTGTGTGGCCCGCACGGCACTTGTCGTAAAAAATAATAACAAGAGAATAACATAACCTACGTCACGTATAGAAATCCGTCGACCGGGCGGACTACGAAAATACACGCGGTGGTTATAACGAGCTAGAAAACGAAAAAAACCTACGAAGAGCGCGTATAAACTCATACGGACACAAGCGTAAATACAATGCCTAATATATAATAATAGGGTATCCTCCCTACGCAATTAGCGGAGTGCGCCGGTCCGGCGAAAACAAAACAAACACGAGACGAAAAAAATTGTTGCTCTCGAAACCGTGACTGCCTTAGCGGCGGCGGCGGTTGGAAACGTGGGCGAGGTACACGCAATTATTACTACTACCGAGTTATGCCCTATATCTTCTTTTTAACGTCTCGTTAACGTCCTGACGTTAAAATTATCAGTTTCCCTCGAATCTTATTCGATTCGCCGTTTTTTTGCCGCTCCTATTATTACATACACCTATATATATACGTTTTCCCTCGCTTTTTCCCGTCTCCTTTGGTAATTTATCCCGATGCCCGCGCCTCCGTCGCAGACGCCCTCCGAGGGGGTTTGCAATTAAGACGCGGGCTTTGTATGTGCGTGCGAACGTGTGTCATTAGGTTCCCCTTTCCCTCCCACCGTGTTCTTTATCATCATATAGTGTGTGTGTATTGCACATTCTCCTCGCGCCGCTACCGTCGTACGCCTTCTGGTCGCGCTTAATTGATATGTCAATTTAAGACTCGTTTACCGCCGCCGCGTGTGCAATGTCGTGATCCCGGACTGGCCACTAATGAGACGATCAAAGTTTTTATTATTGTTATTACTATTATATACATGCTGATTTTTATCTGAGGAAACAATGCCTGTTTTTTCCGTATTGTTATTTCCTTAATCGAACCGTTTTTCCGTACACTGTTTTAATAATAGTGTAATCACCCGATTTCATTATTGTACACGATTTTCATCCAGTGGTCTTATCAGTTCTCGAAGCGCTCGCGTCGTGCACGATATCTTCATTATCATACTGCCGGCGGCACGGCAACTGTATCATTCCTGTAGTGGAAATGCTCGGTGTATTATTTCGTGCTGTTTTCTTAAATTTCACTGTTTATATAAAAAAAAAAAAGAACAATCATTCAGAATTTATATTGTTTATGTTCCAAAAACATTCGGACGTTTCGTATTGTATTCGGCAGTATCGATGAAAATATCAAAAAACATGCGACGTACGTGAAAACCAACGCCTTAATTATTGTTTTTTTACATTTTTACACTGTATATGTTAAATCTCTGGTACAATGCGATCGCGATGACTATGACTTTCTTCGTCGTGACTAATGACAAAATAAATGCATACAAGATTTACCTACTTATTGCTTTAGGCAACCGTAACAAAGTAATATATATTTTAATTATCGAGATAATTTTTTTTTTTTGCCTACGTTTTCGAGGAAAAATAAATATCAACCAAAACGGGCCGAATGTGATAAGTTTTATTGTAAACGCCGCCGCCGCCGCCGCCGTCGTTCGCGCTCTTAGCACAATCCGATTATCCGCAATACAATGCGGCTGTTGTTAACATATTACATCTAATACTGTTATATATTATTATACATAAAAAGGTCAGTAACATCGCGGTGATACGACTTACGGCGTCGTCATTAGGTTTTACGTTATATTCGTGTAACGCATCGCTTCACAACGTTTTTTCTCTCCGTGTGCTCTAATCGGGACTATGGTGTTTTACCGTTAATAAATGGTGTAGAATATGA